GGCCATCATAAGGTTAATAAGCTTTAATCCCGCGGAACGCGTGACAAGTTGAACGAAGGTCGTCCAAGCAGAGTGTTCCTTGAAGGCCTCCTAATGTTACCTGTAACTCAGTCGACATTTTGGAACGATATAATGTCTGTGATGCCCTGCAGGATACTCCGTATCCCTCCCGGTATAAAGTATGTATAACCGAAACTGCCACCCGGCATAAACTATATCGTTAGAAAAAGTCATCACAGATTATTTTTTCTCCGATAATGCGTTTCAGTCTGGTCGGTTTCCTCCAGCCGAGACGTTGAAGACGCCGTGGGCTAAACGAGGAAGGCTGTCTTTTTCTGATCGAGAAGAGTAACTGCTTGTCAGATAGCATGTAGTAGCTGGTAGGAGCAAGGCTGATAGCAGCCGAGCTCAGTTTTGGTTTTCTTTCGTTTTCGACCCAACACTCCTCAACCCGTTAATTTCCTGCGAATGAAAATCAAACTACCCCCACGAGCTCGTGATCCATGAAAAGCGTATTCACCAATCTCGAATTCTGCTCAAAGCACCAAGAAAAGTAAAAAAAAAAAAAAAAACTTTGAAAAGAGTTCTTCAATATAAATATAAAATGCGCAATAGCTGCTGAGGTGCTGGCCGTGGCGGTTGTGTACACTGGATATGAAACAAATTAGTCTGGTTGCGCTTGCTATAGCACGGATACCGAAAAACGAGGTGCTTTCAGTTCAGTGCCGCCTTAGTGCTTGAGAAAACGTGGCGGCGCCACGGCATTATCACGACCACTTCGTACTCTGTCGCGATGACGGTTTAACCGTTGTCGAATGATTAACGGTTTTATGTCTTGCTCACAGCATCACCTTGGCACTTGGCCAAGGCTTCAGCTCCTGGACAGGTACACAAGCAGGGCCGCGCTTATCTATATCGATGAGCAGCTCCAAGTGGGGGTAGACCAAAACACAAGCGTGCTTCATACTCTTAGAGGCCGGTCAAGCTGACATGTGAGCAAACTCACCGGCAGTTGTAGGCTACAACTTCTACTGCAGAAGCTGGCGATGGCGCCGTGGCCACCACGTCTCGCGACCAGCTATGATTTGCGCTTTGGCGTGATCAATCGATGGAGACTACGAGTGATTAACTTAGCGTGGTGCTGGATATTTTGGCTTTGAACAAGGTCTTCCATCGCGCCTTGGTGAGCGCAACGGCTGTTGTGTCCGACAGACACAGCGCAGGCACAAAGCTACAAATGAATATAGATTGCCTACAATTGGCTAAATTACTGCAGATCAAAGTCGAACATTTTATGTCCATCACTTGCCGTCAGCATTGCACACGGTGTGGAGGTGCCACCGGCGGCCAAGTGCTCTCTGCTACAGGACCGTCCGAGAGTCTATCGAGGCAGCCTGTGTTTTCCACGCATGAATTCCGCCTGGATGGCCCCCGCCTGTTGTCTGGGAGTTCCCAACTGGTTGGGACACACCAAGGTCCCCATAATCGGTCGGCGATTCGATTTTCTGTGGTTGGGAGACCAAATCGTCAAATTGCTGTTACGAGCATTGATTACGCCGGCACGAGTGACACAAATCAAGGGAGCCAGTCGATTTCGCAGCCTGTAATAATTGATATAATGTCTAGAATGAATCATAGAAAAGTAATTACACTTTGAAGGTCAAACACACAATTGCTAATGATAGTCGGCACAACAGCATAAAATATAAATTTAGGTTGGAGCTTGTCGACTAAGTGGCTTTGGGTACGAAAACGGACGGTGAGCCTCATAGAGCTGGACGATATTGAACACAGGAAACCTCTCATCAACTTCCAGTTTTGCATTCACAACTTGGCCTGGATGGAGCTGCAGTATTTCCATTGCTGATACGATTAGAAGGGAATGTGGCAACTATCTTACCCCGGATATTTCGTACACAACTAGTATTCGGTCGGCCGATGTGGTCAAGACGATCTGAACGCAAGTTCGCGTTCGGATCATTTCGGTACATTGAATTGCACGTGCTAATTAATACGTGGTTGTAATTCCACTGGCCAGTCCAACTTGCAAAGCTTAAAAAATGCGAGCAAACAGGTTTGAGGGATATGAGGGATTTATCGAGAACGGTGCCTCAAACAGAGCGTTGAGACACCTCCTTCGACCGTTTTCTGCATCCCGTTTACTTCACCTTGATTGTCCCCAATCTACACTCAACCTACAATTAATCTACAAGAAACGTCTTTCAAAGACTGCACCCGTCCTACACTCCTTTCCGATCCCCCATTCGCTTTCGGCGTCACGCCATCGCCGCAATCTTTCCAGCACATTCTGTGATTACTACCTCCTATAAATACCCTCGCCGGCTCCTTTCCGCAATCGCTTAACTCTAATCAGTCGCTAGAATTCCGCACCAGGGGCACTGCACGCCGTCGCCATGGACCGCCGAGCGAGCGATGTCGGCGCCGATACGCCGTCCCACCAGGCGCAGTACCATCGTCTGCAGCCGTCGCCGAGCTCCCGGCAGAGTGAGCCCAGCGCCGCCTTCGATCCGTCCAGATATTTCCACCGTAATCACACGGTCGAAGTGTTGCCACGCCAACCGGCCGACCTGCCGCATGAACGGCCCAACTCGGAGCTTTTCCGCACACTCACGTCCAGTCAACTGCTCAATGTCCGCCAGCGGCTTCTGGACGACGATGTGAGTGACGCCCCCACACGCGCCGAGCTGTTGACGCGTCAACGTACAGGTAGTTCGCCCGCTCCCGTGGCCAATCAGGGCTACTTCCGCATGTTCTACCGCAATTTGCCGCGTACTTTGCGATTCCGACAGAACACACGCTCCACTACACGCTACATCGACCCAGCCAATGCCGCGTCGCTTAGATCGCGAGTACGTGCGCGTAAGAAGGAGGAACAGGCTCGAAATGAGGGCTTAGCGGACCAGGGATCGCCAGTGCCGACGTCGAGAGATATGACCGACTTTGAACGGGAGATGGCCAACATCCAGGGAGGAACGCAGACTGGTACAGACGCTTCTAGTGCCAAGACTGGCTCAGCTGGAGGCCACACCATGACTCCTAAGAACAGCCACAAACTACTGGGTAGAATGAGTAGTTTAATGTCCACGGACTCGCAGGGGGTGCCAGTGGGACAGCGTAAACAGTACAAGATCATTAAGATCAACGACGGCAACAACGCGCCGAAGCGAGAGCCTGTAGCACCGACTGGAGACGGAGATGACGGCGCAGTAGAGGAAGGCGAAGAGTTCTTCGTGTCCAACGAGGTCAAGACGTCGCAGTACACTTGGTGGAGCTTCGTGCCCGTGTTTCTCTATCTCACGTTCCAGAAGACCGCCAACCTGTACTTCCTGCTCATCGGAATCTTCCAGATCATCCCGTCGGTCTCTCCGACGGACGGAGTGCCGCTACAGTTCATTCCTCTCGCTATCGTGATCATCATTGACGCCATCTTCGCTGGCTACGAAGACTATAAGCGACACATGGCTGACGATCTCGCCAACTCGGCCAAGACACGAGTATTCAACCGCCAACTACGGGAGTTCGAAGAGGTGGAATGGCGCGAGATTAAAGTCGGAGACTTCATCAAAGTGGCCAACCACGAGATCTTGCCAGCAGATATCATGATTATGGCTGTGATCCCTGCAGAAGGAGCGCGTTCGGGCGGTAACATGGGTCTGTGCTACGTCGAGACGAAGAATCTGGATGGAGAGACCAATCTCAAGCTCCGTGAGGCTCCGTCGCCTACTCGGAATATGTTCATGAACGAGGAAGAAGCGGGATATATTGTCCAGGGATACGTCGAGAGTGAGCTGCCCAATGGCGATATCAACACGTACTCGGGTACCATGTATCTGGAGGAGAACCCTAATGGAGGGAATGCTGAGGGTGTCCCGCTTACGTTGAAGAACATGCTGCTTCGTGGCAGTAAACTGCGTAACACCAGCTACGTGTATGGATTGGTGGTGAATACCGGTGTGGATACCAAAATTATGATGAGCTCCGGTGACGAGTTCCCCGTGAAGGTGTCGTCTATCGACGAGATGACCAACAGACAAGTGATCGTCGTGGTCGTTATCCTGGTACTTATGTCGCTTATTGGCGCTATTGGAGACCGGATTTGGATGAACGACCTGCAAATCCCGCCGTATTTACACTTGGAAGACTGGGACGACACGTTGATTGAGACGTTCGTCTACTTCTTCACGACACTCGCGTCCATGGTGCCGATCACGCTCTATGTTTCGATCACGCTCGTTAAGGCTCTGCAAGGGTATTTCATGGAACGCGATCTGGATATGTACGACGAAGAGAGTGGCACTCCCATGAAAGTTCGCAACATGCAGCTGAATGAGCAACTCGGTCAGATCTCGCACATTTTCTCGGACAAGACGGGCACTTTAACTTGTAACAAGATGGAGTTCCGGAAGTGTAGTGTTGGAGGTAGAAGTTACGGCAAAGGCACGACCGCTATTGGTCTAGCTGCTCGAATGCGTCACGACTTTAAGGGCGACCGCACGGTCGAGGAAGAATCCGCAGACGAGAACGACATTCCTCTACTGGACGCTCGCGCGCAGATGCCTGCTCCTAACGTGAACTTCAAGGACAAGACCATGTGGCGCGACATGCAGAACAAGGACGATCCTCAAAGCGGCAAGATCGAAGAGTTTATGACGCTGCTGGCTTTGTGTCACGGAGTCCTTATCGAGCGTCTTGATCCCACGGAAGACGACGCGAGTCCTCCCGTCCACTACTCGGCTTCGTCTCCAGATGAATTGGCGTTGGTCTGTGGTGCCAAGTTCTTTGGCTATGAATTCATTGACCGTGAACCTGGTAGCGTCTCGATCAAGAAACCCGACGGTGTCGTGGACCAGTATGACATCCTGGAGGTGTTCGAGTTCGACTCGAACCGTAAGCGTATGTCCGTTATTGTACAGCGCCGTAAACGTGACGACGAGCTCCGTTTGATGTCGGAGAGTGAAGAAGACGACGTGCTGCTTCTGACCAAGGGAGCTGACAGTATGCTATTCCCTCGTCTAGCTCCAATGTCAGAAAACAACCTGCAAATCCGTGAATCAACTGAAAAACACCTGGAAGCTTTCGCTCAAGATGGACTACGTACTCTGGTTGTCTGTGCGAAGAAGATCAGCCCTCAAGTCTGGGAGCAGTTCTACGCGCAGTACCGTCACGTGTCTGCTGACTTGAGTGAAGTGGAGGCCAAGTCACGTGGCGAACCCAACGCTATCGATAACCTTCAAGATCAAATGGAGTCGAACCTGGAGCTTCTCGGTGCTACGGCTATCGAGGATCGTCTACAAGACGGTGTTCCGGAGTCCATGGAGGCTCTAGCGAAGGCTGGAATCTGCATCTGGGTGCTGACTGGAGACATGGAGGAGACGGCGATCAACATCGGCTATGCTTGTCGCTTGCTGAACAACGACATGGAGCGACACGTGATCAATGCGGCCAAGTACCGCACCAAGGGCTCTATCCTACGCAAGCTCGACAAGATCTTCCACTCAATCCACGACGCTGTCCCTGACGCTTCCATCACCTCAACTGTCGCTGCGCATTCGGTGCTGTCGCCCCCGTCGGGTCAAGTTGAACACGCTCTGGTTATCGATGGTGCGTCACTGAGTAAGATCCTTGAAGACCCGCTGCACAACTTGCATCTTCTACGTGTATCGCTGCTGTGTAAAGTCGTGGTCGCTTGTCGTGTGTCTCCTCAACAGAAGGCGCAACTGGTTGAGTTGGTCAAGTTAAACGTCCCCGAGTCTCACACGCTCTCCATTGGAGATGGCGCTAACGACGTCCCGATGATCCAGAGCGCTCACATTGGCGTCGGTATCAGTGGACAAGAAGGTCTGCAAGCAGTCAACAGCTCGGACTACGCGTTGGCTCAATTCCGGTTCCTCACCAACTTGATTTTGGTCCACGGTCGCTGGAATTACAACCGCGTGGCTGCGTTGGTTGTGTACACTTTTTACAAGAACATTGTGTACAATGTGTCCATGTTCTGGTACACTTTGTGGCCTACCGCATATTCCGGCACGATGATTTACTCGGCTTTGATCCAGCAGGCCTACAATCTCATCTTCACTGCTCTTCCGATCGTCATTTTCTCGGCGTACGACAAGGACCTGCCTAAGAAGACAGTACTGGAGTTCCCAGCGCTATATCATGCAGAGATGCGCAAGACTAGCTTCTTCTCGCACAAAATGTTCTGGAAGTGGATCTTTCTCGGGATTATCGACTCGGTGGGCATTTACTATGCGATCTTGGCTGCTGGGTGGAACATTGAGCGTGGAGGCAACACGATCGAGTGTCTATCGATGCAGACGCTGGGGTGGACCATTTTGTGCATCGTCGTGAACGCTCGTTTCTGTTTGATGGTCAATTCGTGGGATGTTCTCGAAATCACCAGTATGGTGTTCACAGTCGTCATGCTGTATCTATGCCAGTACGTTATCGACCAGATCGATTGGTCCTACGACACCGATTCGTTGCCCTGGCAGTTCGGTCGTGAGCAGTTCTGGCTCGGTCAAGTGTTCGCTGTCGTGGCGATTCTAATGAAGGATTTCCTGTACGAGGGATGTCGCCGTCGCTTTGTTCCGGAATATCTGGATCTGGTCAAGGAATCGCAGGAAGAGAAATCCTCCATCTCACATGAAGAACTGCAGGAGTTTAAACCACCTCAAGTCAACTATCTCAACCCGGAACTGGCCGGTATGATCGACTACCAAGACCGTCGGGTACATGAGAGTAACCCCGTTCCATTCACAGCGCCAGGTCGCTCCAAACTGTACACGGGCTTTGCATTCGACCAGCCTGCCAACATCGTCAACTGGATCTTGACCGGAACACACAACAACGGCGGCCAGAACTGCCGCAAGAGTATCAACACGGACGTCCGTAACTACATCCTCAGCTCGGACGACCCCGTATTCTTCGAGAACCAACGCTACCAGCCGTTCTGCGGTTACGGCAGCTCTTTCCCTGGTTACCTGTTGCCTACAGATCGCAAGCGTTGGAGCGATCGATCAGGCAAGATCAGCGCTCAGGCCATCCCTCTGGCTGGTCTGGAGCTCAATCTGGACGTGCCTGGATGTGACGCTGAAGGGTGGGTGTACGAGAACGACTTTGCCTTCTTCCCGTCGACGCCTCCGAACGAGAATGACGAGGAAGAGGAGGATCTGGATCTCAGAGTCAGCGACGCTAGGAGCAGCAATGGCACGTTCCTGTCCTCTCGAAGGAAGAACAAAAAGAAAAAAGCCAAGAAACCGCGACCGCATCACGGTTTTGTACGACGTCGCGAGTGGAAACTTTCCGAGGAGTACAAGGCACAAGAAGCTGCTCGAGCGGAAGAAGCAGTACGGCGTAACCGTGAGTCGAATCTCAGCAACATTTCGGCGGTGCAGATCGACGATGACTCGAGACAATCCACTCAGTCTACATGATGAAATAGCCATGTTTTGTTGCTGGGAGCACCTTAATGCCCACATCTACATACTCTAATAAAGAAACAAGATTTTTGACATTGTACAGTCTGCGCTAACTATAAACATCTCATCTTTTACAGTAAGCGTGACACTAAACGTCAGCGCTACAGTGAAGCCACTTCAATGTTAGCGCATCACGAAGGAGAAAAGAGGGTATCAATCTGAAGTGCTGTCATTGCATTGGTACAAAGGTTTAGAAACAAAGCGGGGTGGTTGATTACTCGATATTAGGGTATCAATCTGAAGTGCTGTCATTGCATTGGTACAAAGGTTTAGAAACAAAGCGGGGTGGTTGATTACTCGACAAACTTCTTGAAAGACTCCTTCTCGGCCAGTTCGGCGTCGCTGGCGATAGCGTTGAGCACGACCGCAAGCTGCCCCTCGCGTTCCTGGATCATATCGGGGTTGTGCTTGCCGCGCAGCTTGGCGCCCAAACCAGAGCTGGGCAGTGCCGGCAGGTTCTTGGGGTTGCCGAGTGCCACGACGAGCGCCTTGAACTCGCTGAAGCGCTTCTTGAAGGCGACGTTGCCCTCAGCGGACTCCACGACGTAGAAGACCACGCCAGCCTCGTCGATCTCGTGGCCCGTGATCTTGTACAGCTCCTTGGCGGGCTCGTCAGACGTCTCAGCCTCAGGCTCAGCCGGGGTCACGGTCTCTTCGGTCTCTTCGGTCTCCTCGGCCTTAGGCTCTTCGACCTTGGGCTCCTCAACAGCAACGGGCTCGGCCTCAGGCGGGTTGGTGGCGGCCACGTCTTCAGTCTTGGATTGTGCGCAGCCCATTGTAGTGGCGGTTGATAGATAAGGAAGGAAGTCGAAGTGAAGACTTGGGCAGATCGAAGCAAGTTCGATAGTGGACGAGGTCGAACACACAGACAGTCGAGAACCGTCGGGAGAGGCGAACGGAGAGGAGCAATCGCAGCTGGATGATTGGGCGGTGCCTCTACGTTCGAGAAACATGCTGGGCATATCGACGCTGTTACTTACGAGCGACGGCGTGCGGCTGGCCCAGTCCCGCGTCAAAGATACGACGCTGTAAGGCGCTTTTGCCAGCGCAACGTGGGTGAGCGATCAACACCATCATTTCGGGCAGGCAACAGCCACAGCGAGGTTGTTGCGTCTTCAAGGCCTAAGATATGCTCAGGCTCGCAAAAAGCGACTTATGGCGATGGGACGAATGCGATACGGCGTCCAGCTGCTGGCGTTACCCAAGGTCACTGCTGTCAGGGAGAAAGAGCCATAACGGCTGCGTTTCTCTATGCTGGAACATTGTCAAGCGCTGTCGCTAAAGCCGGGTGCAGGCTGGAAAATATTGGAATGATTAGTTATCAAAGGTAGTTTAGTTTTGCTTTCAATTTGCCAATGGTGACATCATCCAATTTGATAAATTATTCGAGGCAATATGTTATCACCATTCTCATTGACACGCGCATCACGTTGAAGCTGGCTGCACAACATGGCAGCAATGTGGTGCGAAGACGACGGCCGTCACTACGCAAAGCGCCTCATGCACACGCACAGCATGTAGCCGGAGTGAGAAATGACCAAACACGCTTTAGACATATTTACTTATGACACTACCCAATGGGGTTGGTGTTCCCTGCCGCCTCTCTCTCTCTCTCTCTCTCTCTCTGCTTTGTCGATACCTCCAGGCTCGCCACTTGCGTCTTGAAGCTTACTATTCATATAGGATACCCGAGAGAACAACTACCTAGAGTTCAAAAGCCGAGTGCAACTTGAGCAGCGTACGCAGTTCGTAATGCGCCACGCTCGCACTCGGACGGTCGTTGGCGTTGAAGCTCAAGCAGCGATCTGCCAGCTCTCGGATGTCCTCGGGGCAGTTCTGGCCCAGATCAGGCTTCTCTTCGCTCGTGACCTTTAGGACAATCAGTGCGTTTGTTACGCCGTCGAATGGCTTGATGCATGTGGCCAGTTCGGACAGAATCACACCGAACGAGTAGATATCAGCCATCTCGGTGTATCTCTCGCCTCGCAGCACCTCGGGGGCGATCCAGGCCATCGTGCCGATACCTGCCGTCATTGTGGTGTCCACTTGCCACTCGCGACTTACTCCGAAGTCGCTCAGTTTGGCCTCGTAGGACGCACTTAGCAGCACGTTCTTTGACTTGAGATCGCGGTGAATAATAGGCGACGGGAACGAGTGGAGATACACGATGGCTTCCAGCACATCCAGAGCGATCGAGGCCTTGGCTGGCAATACGGACGAGTTCTGGTACCAGTCGAACTCCTTGGGGTACATTTCTTGTCGCTCGTGTTGCTGTTTCAGTAGCATATCCAAGTCGCCGTTGGGCATGTATTCCATCAGTACAGCCATGTCGGACAGCATACTCCAGCTCACACCGATAAACCGGACAATCTTGGCATGCGACAGTGATGAGATGAGTTTAATCTCCTCGATAAACGCACTCAAACAGCGGTCGTCTGCCGCCTTTTCCGGTAGAATCTTCTTGACTACTACAGGGCGATTCTGGTAGTTGGCAAGGTACACGATACCGAAGCCTCCCTTGGCAATGGATCGTTCAATGTGAACCTCATTGGCAGGTACACGGTACTTTACCAGAGCCGACTCGATCGCCGTACCGCCCATCATCGTCACTTTACCGCCACTGAAGATAGTGTTGAACGAGTCCGAATTCGAGTTATGCGGCTTGTTGTTGTTGCTAATGTGTTGACCTCCAGAGTTGGTAGCCGTGTCCATCAGCGTGTTGTTAGCGAAAAAGTTGTTGTCGTCCATTCGTCCCGAGACGTCCTTCTCTGTCTGACGCACTCGGTACGTTCGGTAGGCAAAAGCTGCAAGAGCCACAGCCAGCACCGCAGCCAGACAAATGACCACAATGAGAATGGTCGAGTTGCTGTTGCTACTGGCCACAGGAGTCGCGACTGTGCTCTCGGCACTCGAAGACGACGAGGAGTTACCGTATGTGCTTTCGAACAGTTCGTCCGAGATGACGCAAATGCTGTAGCCAGATACAGCGACCAACTCAGCTCCAGACGTGGAGCAGCTCGTTTGTGCCACGACAGCGTTGAAAACGTCCAGATCCTTAAATGTGGAATAGTCCGAGCGGGAGATCTCAAAATTTGTGATCTCGTTCGAGCCAAAGTCCAGTTTGGACAGAGCCATGGGGAACGAAACTCCACGGATCGACTCGATGGGGTTTCCAGAGAAATTGAGCTGCGAGATGCTGGACGGGAACGAGTATTTGTTCAGCTGAGTGATCTCGTTGTTCGTGGCTGTGATCTGCACCACAGTGGACGGGAATCCGGTTGGCAACGACGTAATCGTGTTGAACGAGAAGTCACTGTGCCAATAGAAGCAACAGTCAGCTCACAGCCTAATTGTTGCTAAAACATCACTGCACGTACATGTACTGCAGACTGTCCGGGAAGTTGACGCCGTCCAAGCTCGACAGACCGGACTGCACGAGGGACAACATCTGAATGCTGTCCGGGAACGTCGCGCCTTCCAACGTCGTCAATTTCAGGTTGTGGATGTACAGTAGCGTCAATGCCGACGGGAAGGTCACACCAGACACAGACGAGATCGGGTTGCCACCGAGGAACAGCTGCGTCATGGTATCGGGCAAAGCCATGCCGTCGAACGACGAGATGTCGTTCCAACTCAAATCCAACTGCTTGAGAGTGTCTGGAACCGCCAACTTGCTGAACGACGTGACTGCATTTGACGTCAACGTCCTGCAAGTAATAGTAATTAATGTATCAGTTAGTAAGCAGCTCTATGCGTCTCTATCTTTATAGTCATGATGCCGTACAATTTCTCCAGCGTCGTCAGGTTTGATACGGCCACGGACGTAATGTTGTTGAGCGATAGGTCACTGCAGTCACAAATTCGGACAAAAAGCGTCAGTGGAAGATACAAAACAGACCGAATATGTTCTGCTATACATTGTCTCGACATCGGGGGCGCTGAGCACTTTCTGGATGTTCATGCTGCTGGCTGTGAGTGTAGGAGTGTCCTTGCTCGTGGACACGTCCACCTCAGTCTGTTCGCAGTCGGCGTCCACGACGAGGGCCTCGCTGTCGTCGCCGGTGGCCATGAGCACGACTGTCCCTTTGGTTTCGCATGCGGCGTGTGTCGAGGCGGCTAGCAGCAGCGCGGCGGTAATGGAGCGGAGAACTATGCGCATCATGTTCGATCGACTGTAGCGGCGAATACAGATACCCAATACAAGCGAGACCGACACGGTTCGATGCGCCTCAATCACAGCTATAAAGAGAGACGCTCGCGAACTTCGAATGCGCCGTGGAAGCGGAGAACGCGCGGTGCGAGCGAAGGCGGAGACAACCCTCGGTCGGGTGTATGGCCGGTGGAGATATGGCGGAATGTGGGGAAGGGGAAGTCAGACTGGACTGGCTCCGACGAGGCCTCTACAGGTACGGAAGTTGTGTCGCGGCTTTGTGCGACTAAATGTGGTGCTTCCATTGGATGATAATCATATACACGCTGCCTGATTGGTCAAAACAGAGTGCGACAAACAGACGATTGGCAAGGACCTTTACAAAACAGTACTCTGCTTTTTCGTTTTTCATGAATGCATACGTTTATAAAGTTTACAAAGTCATTTGCGCATATTCAGTCGCTGCTGATTGGCCAAGTCTTCTGATGAGTCGATATAATGCAGTTTACGCAGGATCTAAATATATTGATATCGTTATAGTGAGGTGGCGGTCTTGGCTAGCCTATCGGGTGACACTGTGCGGACAAGTGACTGTCGACCAAGAGCTCATGCTCCGGCCATTCTCCAGCTGCAAACGCGGAGTCCATGTGGCCGTCACTGACGGCATCAAGCCCTGTGCAATCCGCTTTCGGTATAAGGCAACGTTGTCCTGCTGCGGCCCCTACCAAGCCTCTTTGCGACAGCCACCAGGCGCTTCAACAAGGTTAAGCCAAACTCGCGCATACGTGCGCCGTGGCAGCTCCTCTGCAGCAAGCTGCCCAGGAGCTGTCGGCGACGGGAAAGGCTGCAGGCCACTGCGTGGCCCACGCGTCTGTAATGGCGAGATGGCTCGGCTTTCGGCAAGCGTGATGGATCGGCTGGAACAGAAACCCTGGCGATCTTCCGTCTGGCGGTGGCTGACGCGAGCCGCCGAGCAACTGCAACAACTGCAACATCGCTGGTCTGCCAAATGTGAAAACGGTGACCCAGCAATTGATCGACATTGAGTTGAGTAGATTACATGTCATGTATGAAGCAAACGGCAAGAACTGCCGTGTGCTGTGTGCCGTAGAAATCGTGCAGTTCAAAACTCTCTCTACATGCACACTATTAGCCTCTCTAGCCACATTCATTCATCTACAGCAAATCGCAGCGTTCTCCAGACCGTGAAGATGCCCTTGTTTCTGCTTCCCGTCGTAAACAAGCGATGGCTTGCAGAACAACGAGGAAAGTCGCAACTTGCGAGGGACCAGCGACGACGTCGCGAACTGAAGCGATTAAAAAAGCGTCCCGTCTCCTGTGACGTCACCTGTCTACAATAGCGGGTCAATATCGTCCGCCAGTGTCTCCCTGGTCACCTGTGCCTTTGATCCGTCCCCAACGTTGTCCACACAGCAGCTCTGTGCTTGCTCTTCATCGTCGCCTTCATCTTGGCCGTCGCTCTCTTCTTGCTCGACATCCTCGTCGTCTCCACCGCGATCTTCCAGCACACGCCCCGTCACAGCCGCGTCCACATCACTTCCTCCGCTGTCTGCGTCTGCACCCTCAGGTATCACGTCTGTAGCCATCCTGGTACTTGGTTTACCATTGTATAGCTTGGCGCTTCGACGAGTGCGTTGCATCTTCGCGCCCTTCACTTGGAAATCCACAGCAAACGACGACATGGGTTTGCCAACGAACTCGGCCTTGTGGATACGTTGCCAGCAGCCCGTATCCGGCTCCTCTAAGCCAGCAGCATTGCCACTCCGCTTTTTCTGTTCGTACTCTCGATAATCGACCACCACCTTGATGACGCCGGACAAGCCAGACTCCACGTAGCGCTGAGCGATAGGCGTACTGTAGTCGCAGGCCGGCGAGCTGTTGACTTCGATCAGCCACGGTGTGAGGTTCTCGTCCACCATGAAGTCGTATCCGTACAGCTCGCAGCTGTTGTTGCGATGGTTCACCATATCCTGTACGCACTGCAATGACTGTACGACTATCTCCTTCATGCGTGGGTGCATATACGAGTCCCAGACGTCGGGTTTACCTAATTTCGTCGCCAGGAACTTCTTATAGTCGTCTGAGTGCCACATATTACCCTCCACCTGCATCTCGCCATCGTCCGTCGCGTACACGTCGTTGAACTTGTCGCTGTACTTTTGGATCGAGTTGTTAGTCAAGTGTACATACTGGTCGCTCAGATCGTCCATAGAGTATTCCTCCGACGAGAAGCGTAGATAGCAGTCCTCATTGAACCAAACCGTTAGCGGATCCCACCCAGTTACGAGCACCCACTGTCGGACATCGAATTTGCGCTTACACAGCAGCAACGGGTTCTCAATGTACTTTTGTGCTACCCATTGACACTCTTTGTGGTTTTCCACATCGACATATCCCAGCAATTGATCCAGGTCATTGAACACGCGAATGCCACGTCCTCGTGACATTCCTGCAGGCTTGACTATCCACACATTCTGACCCGTACTAGTAGCAGCAGCAGGATGAGGCTCTGGCAGCATAAACTCAGCACCACCGTTAATGTGGAACTGAGGACACACCTTCTCGAGCTCTTGGGCCAGTCGGATTGCCTCGTTAAACGCTCCGTCACGTACGAGTGAAACGTGCGTTATGAGATCACTAAGGCGAGCTTTCTCCCGATTGAACGCGTTCGCGTGCATTCTTTCAGCCTGTCGTTGCAAGCGCTTCTCTTGAGCCGATATCGCTGTATCAAAACTTTTCCCTTCACTAGCAACATCTTTATCTTCTGCGTATACCTTCTTTTTGTACACTAGTGAAGCCCGAAGTCGGCCCGGTTGGTCCAATGAACAATTCGTCAGCACTCCCCATTGGAGATCTGTCACCAGTTCGTCCACACCAGTAGATAGTGGATTATCCACACTTTCTTCAAGAGGATCGATGTGCCCTACACACTCTAAATGGCTGCTCTCGGGTCGCTTACTTTTGAGCTTCTTTCTCGCGATGTCCAATACCACATCGACTAAAGCCTCATTAGCTCCCATCGACACGGCTCCCGGCAACTTATTCCGAAGCTGCAACCCTCGTCGCGCTAATTGTTTGAGAAGTCCTTCAGCTACACCGTAACGAAAGTCCTGTATAAAGTTATCCATGTCCATGTGGTCATTTAGATCATAAGCACGAGGGAAAAACCCATCGATATCCACGCTATGATGCCACACAGCACTTCGTAAGTTGTGAATAAGTCCCACTTTGGTTGTGATGGCTGCATTCTGGGTGAAATGGTTCACGTACTGGTGCTTCTCAAGTTTAACTCCTCTCAAGTCATCGCTCTTTAGAGTCCACTTGAAGTCGAAATACGGCGACACCCTATCCTGGTTGTAATACCACCCACGTTTCTCCAGCTCGTCCCGAATGACAGGATACCACCCAGTCATGCAAAAAACCTTTTGGTCCGGTGCGACGGCGTGACGTTTCTTCCAGGACGCAAAGTCTCGAGCTTCAGGAATAATTTGAACATCACGGTCCTTCAGTTTACTCAGTCGAGCGACCATCGCGTCCACGTCCACGGGCGGGCCAGCATTTGCCGCTTTCTCCGCCGCTGCAGCTGCAGCCTCTGCTTCTCCCTTCTCTCTCGCCTCTGCTAGAGCCTGTTGCTTCGCTGCTGCTTCTTGCAGTCGCTGTTGCGCCTCCTTTTGGGCCCTCCGTTTGCGTTTCTCCTGCAAGATCCGAGCATCTTCGTCCTCTTTCACCTTTTGCTTGCGTTGATCGGCCAATTTCTTGAGATATTTCTGCTGTTTGCGGTGAAGTGCGTCGCGCTGTTCTTTCGCTTTTTGTTTCTGCTCCTCCGTTTGTTCATCGACAGCTATTTGGTTGCCTGAAGGCTGTTCTTTAGATTCATCAGCATCGCTTTTCGTTTCTTCAGCGTCCTTTGATTCTGATCGATTGATAGTGTCTTGGATCTTGTGTAGAACCGTTTGCGTCACTTTCTCGAGCTTGCGCTGCTCGCGCTCCTTTTCCAGTTCTTGTTGCTCTTGTTCCTCGCGCTGCTTGGCTTGGATTTTTGCCAGATGCTCCTGTTGTTTCTTCAGCAAACGCTTCTGTCGCTTCGCCTTCTCCTTGCGTCGTTCGGTCTCTCCAGAGTCGTCTTCGCTCTCATCTTGTGGCTCTTGCTGACGCTTCAACTCGCTAATGAGATCGTCTACCTCTGGAGACGAAGCAGCTTGATTCTGCCGCACACCCGCCCCTTCCAAAAGTTTACGAGTCATTTTTTCATGAAGCTTCTTTTTGCGTCTCTCCAGTCGAGCGCGATCTTCTTTTTCCTTACGTCTCTTCTCTTCCAGTTCCTTGATAAAATCACGGTTCTTGTCCTTCACTTGTATCGAAGATCGAGAAGAAGACGACGTCCGACTGCTGGATAAACTACGACGTTTCTCGTCCTCCTCGTCGAAATCTCGCTGCGTTTTGCGTCCATGCTCTTCTTCCTGGTTGCATTTTGGCTTCGCTAGTGATGGGAACTTGACCACCAAAGATGAAGAAGCTTTTGCTGGTAGATTTCGTTGATTGGGCTGCTTGAGTCGACTTCGCTGGTTGTTGCTAGTCAAGGTACCAGCATCGTTCACCAGCGGTGGCAGCAGGCCAAGAGATGAACTACATGTATTCGCTCTACCTTCTTGAAGTCGTGGGAGAATCGAGCTGCTCATTCAAAACGTTGCGATCTTTCGCTAAAGCGAGGAATTCTGGTAGTGTACAGTCTATCTATATAAACGCATTCACAGCTTGGTGCCGTTAGATGGGAAGTATGCGAGACCACACAACTGACCAGGACCACTCCAATGAACAGACTGCCTTCTATCTGATCAAAGTCTCGTAGTATTGATGCGGTTTATTGCAGCAGCGAGAGCCACGACTATCTAACTGTTGCCTTACTCGGCGTAGGCATCCACGTGCACGCCGGCAATGGCACGACCGGACGGGTCGGCAGCGTTCTTGAACGCAGCGTCCCACTCGATAGCAGCTGGGGTGCTGCAGGCAATACTGGGGCCACCAGGCACCGTCTGAGCCGCCACCTCGCGATGGAAGTGGTGCTGGAAGATGCTGCGGTACATGTAGGCCTCCTTGGACTGAGGCGTGTTGTACGGGAATAGCCGCTCGGCGTGCTTCATCTGGCGCTCCGTGACGGTCTTCTCGGCCAGATCCTTGAGCGAATCGATCCATCCGTAGCCCACACCGTCCGAGAACTGCTCCTTCTGACGCCACAGAATGTGCTCGGGCAAGTACGGGTTCTCCTTGTCATCGAAAGCCTTGCGGATGATGTACTTCTCGAACTTCTTGGCCTTGGCGTCGATCATCTTCTCGCGCGTGTCAATGTTCATGGCAATGTCGAGGAAATCGGCGTCCAGGAACGGCACACGAGCCTCCAGACCCCACGCGCTTGTGGCCTTGTTGGCACGCAGACAATCGTACTGGTGCAAAGCTTGTAGCTTGGCCACCGTCTCCTTGTGGAAGGCCTCAGCACTGGGAGCCTTGTGGAAGTACAAGTATCCACCGAAAACCTCGTCAGCGCCTTCACCAGACAGCACCATCTTGATGCCCATAGCCTTGATCTTCCTCGACATGAGGAACATGGGGGTAGACGCACGGATCGTGGTCACATCGTACGTCTCCAAGTGTTTAATGACTTCCGACACAGCGTCCAGCCCTTCCTGGATCGTGTACGTGTACGAGTGGTGGATGGTGCCAAGGAAATCGGCCACTTCCTGTGCAGCCTTGAGGTCCGGAGAGTTCTCGAGGCCGATAGTGAACGAGTGGATCTTGTTGATCCATTCGCCACCTTGAGCCACGAGTTTCTGCTTCTCTCGGACGGCAATTGAAGCCACAAGGGACGAGTCTAGACCTCCAGAGAGCAGTACACCCCAGGGAACATCAGACATCATACGACGCTTAACAGAAGCCTCAAAAGCTTCACGTAGAGCCATGAGGTCCAATGGCGTCTGGCCAATGTGGCCAGCATCGTACCAGTTGGGCTTGTACCATGGCTTACACGTCTCCGTGTCGCTCGTAAACACGTGACCAGGAGGGAAGACCTCAAAGCGGACGCATCCGTCCTCTAGCGCCTTCATCTCCGAAGCGAACCATACACTACCGTCGGCTCCGTAGCCGTAATACATGGGGGTAATACCCATGTGATCTCTGGCAGCCAGGAAGAAATCCTTACGGTGGTCGTACAGAACGAAGCTGAACATGCCACGCAGCAAGTGGACGAAGTCCGGGCCGTGCTCGAGGTAGAGCGGGATGATGATCTCGCAGTCCGACTTGGTGAGGAACTTGTAGGGCGTTTTCAGACCCGCTGCCAGCTCCTTGTAGTTGTAGATCTCGCCGTTCACGCCGCACGTGATGCTGCGCTCCGGGTCGTTGCTCACAAGCGGCTGAGCGCCCGACTCCGGGTCAATAATGGCCAGACGCTCGTGCTCGATGGCGATGCCGCGCTCGCCGAACACGCGCACGCCGTTCCAGTCCGGGCCGCGGTGCTGGATCTTCTTGCCGGCGGACAGTGCGGCTTGGCGGAGCTCCGCCTCGGGCATCATGGAGCGTAGGATGGCGACAATTCCGCACATTGTGGTGGTCTAGAGGACTGGAGGGCGGATGTGGAAGTGGGGCTGGTGGTGGGGCTGAAGTTTTGACGGGCGCCTGATAAGACGTTGCTATGCCTATAGTCAGCACAAGAATTTTCCTTTAGAGCTTTTTAAACAATGATGTGGTTTACGGACATTGGGGAGAGGAACTATTACCCGCTGTGAGGGTTTTTGCATACGAAGGATTTGCAATCACTATTGGATACCGTAGTTATACCCAGGGGATAGTGTGGTTTATATCGCACCGGAATAAATCTTGTGGGCGACGTTTGCGCAAAAACCGCGCGCAAAATATCGGTGACGTAACTCGCATCATCATCAAATGGAGCGCAATGATTGGCGTTGAGCATTTAGTCACTGTGACGGGCCGGAATATGCCCATTGCCGGTATGATATCGGTGGTATTTGGGACTCTCAAGTTGGGTCACTGCCTTAACTGAGCTTAATAAGCAATCACGATACATCTCTAGTAAGACTTTGTTTCCTTTTATCATAGCTCCTGCATTGAATGCTCATCGATTACTGCACGAAATGCCATAAGATATTTTCCCGTGATAATCGTGAGTGATTGGACGCCAATCGATGATCAGCGACGATTTCCGACGCAAATACCGGTATTTGGAGCTTGAAACGACGCAGACTATCTTCCAGTAGCATGGCCAACGCGGTGACCCAGCACGTGGTTGTGTTCGCAGATTTGAGCCCACAGGCGAAGGTGCAGTACACCCGGTTCCTTCTCGAGAATGACGTGAAGGTGGAGGAGCAATTTGCACTGCATAACATAATCATTTGACTCGGCCCGCTCACTACACTTGTGCCCCCACCAGTTCCATCAGCGCACTTTGGACAAACACTTCGTGGCGAATATTCGTCTCGTAAAGCCACCAGCCCCAGATGATGATGATCAAGACACCACTAGCCAGGATGAGGAGGAACTCGTAGATGCAGACCCCATTGACAAACGGCTGGCAGCGGTGCCCGAAGCTCTGCGAGCATACTCGAACCTCATTGTACTGGTATGTTGCTCACTATCAAGGACTTTGAAAGTTGCTTCGCGACTGAAATTGCGCTTACTACAGATCGGAGAGAGACCGAAAAGGACCATAACTACTTCAGGCACGTACGTTAAGGAGACGAGGCTGGTACGCTTCATCAATGAGGTCTACGACGCCCGATATGAAGACTTGTCAGCGTCGAGCATGAGCAGCTGTGAAAGTGTACGAGTACAGGAGCATGTACAATTATGTAACGTTGCTTTGACGCTGACACCTTGCTTTGTTGCAGTTCGCCAGGTTCATTCGACACTACCTCACGAATCTGTTTGGCCTCAAACGTTTGGTTGACCAACAGGCTTGGGACCTCATTGAAGGGCTTAACGCTCTCCAGCATGTACGAATAACTCGGCTGCCTTCTCTTCTGTACTTGTTTGTTTTTGACACTAAACAATCCCATTTTGTAGCGTGTCGATGTCGAACTCTTTTCATGTTTCTTGCAGGGTAAATACCCCGAGCGTACACTGGCCTTCTTCCTGTTCGCACGGGCTAGTCTACAGGTATGCAACTAAGAACAGCTCATTTCCAAGTAACAAGCGCATCCTCATGTGGTAGTGTTATTGTTTACAGCGCGTGGTTAATGCGCCAGCGTATCGCCCAATGTCTGTAAAACCCTCGACGTCCAAAAGGAAGTCCAAACCCGCACATCAGACTAGCAGTCTGAATGTTTGGCTTTCAAGAGCACAAGCAGAGACTCTGGCCGAGACCGTGTTCGGCTCTAAGACCGAGGACACTTATATCGAGGTAAGTTGGGGAGTGTTTGTCTCGTAAAGCCAACTAATCTCCTGCTGCTCTCAGTTCTTGCATGCAATGAAGGCCTTCCTGAGCTGTGACACAAGCATCGTGAGAGTACGAACGTCTGCTCGACTATTGGACGCCAACGAATTCCTCTTCATCGCCACGGAAACATATCACAAATCCAGCGCTCCATTTCCCGGCGCTAGAATTTGTGAGCACGGATTCGATACTCCACGCTCTAGTCCAAAGAACCGTAGCTTTCCCCATTTTCCGTTCGACAAACTCAAAGCAACAATCCACAAAGAAGCTGTCTTATCGGATCCGACACCAGCAACACAACACACAAATTTTCGTACTCCAGAAACGCCGTCCAGTACTGGAGCTGCTATCGTCGACGATAACGACGAAGATGAAGCACAACTCCAGTCGAGACTCGGCTCTCTTTTGGAACGCATGAAGAAGCGGCAGCACAATAGCGGACCATGACAAGAACTAGACAAATTGATGGTAAGATACTGAATTTCTGAACGATAACACTGTCACCGTCTCCATCGAGTTGCATTTGCACTAGTAGCATGCTCCCCCGACTCTAACAAACTCGTAGTCTACACTAATTTGTCGGGGTAGTTACCACTCCAAATACTGTCGATCTCGACAGTTCACATGTGGATTCAAAGTGCGCAACACACCGTCGTGTGCTACGGGTTAAATGATCCGACGCACCACGAGAGACTTCCGACACAACGAAGAGCTGTCTTCTTTAGCAGCTCTTGGCAGATGTCAGAAAATCTCCGTGAATACGCTGACCCCATGAAGAGTGGCTAGGCTTGTTACCAGCCCCCACCCGAATTCAGAGGGTCCCACTTGAACTCTCGAACTATCACTCTTTGTCGCTTTACTGCGTCTCCTGAGGAGGCACGTACGACTGCAGCGCCTGCGAGAGATCTTTGATGAGATCCTTCGCGTCCTCCACACCGATGGACAGACGCACCAGGTCCTCCGGGAACGAGCGCGCCTTACGCACTTCCTCCGGAATACTGGCGTGTGACATGGCGCCAGGCAGCGAGATCAGCGAGTTAACGCTACCGAAGCTGACCGTGATCTTGAACAGCTTCGTCACAGTCAGCAGATGCTGCGAGAAGGCGAGTGAACCGGTGCGGAAACACACGACGGAGCCACAACCGCGGGCCTGCGAGTCGTGGATCTTGCGATCGGGCGAGTTCTCGGGCAGTAGATTCGTGTAGTGCACCGTCTTAATGAGAGGGTGGTCGTTCAGGAAGTTGGCGACCTTGGCGGCATTCTTCTGGGCTGCCAGTACGCGCAGACTCATGGTCTTGACGCCACGTAGTAGCAGCCAGCAGTCGAACGGCGCGAGGCCAGTTCCCTCTGCGTTCTGGTAGAAATAAACGTCACGGCAAAGCTCTGGGTCTTTGGCGATGACGATACCGGACATGGTGTCACTGTGGCCACAGATGAACTTGGTGGCAGAGTGCACTACAATGTCGGCACCGAGTTTGAGAGGGTTTTGCAGGATAGGACTCATCATCGTGTTGTCCACGGACAGCAAGGCGCCGACTGTGTGCGCAGCCTCGGCAAGACGCTTGATGTCGCAGATACGCTGCATGGGGTTGGTGGGGGACTCCATCATGACCAGCTTGGTCTTGTCACTGAGTGCCGCCAGCAGGTTCTTCGGACCGTTCTCGCCCGACAGGTCCACGTACTTAACGGTGACGCCGTTCTTGGTGGCGACCTTGCTTAGTAGGCGGTAAGTACCGCCGTATGAGTCGTCAGAGAGCACGATCTCGTCGCCGGCATGTGCCAGACGAGAAACGGCGGACAGCGCGGCCATGCCACTGGTGAAGGCAAAGGCACGGTGTCCGCCCTCAAGCTCGGCCATCTGACGCTCCAGAGCCGCGCGTGTGGGATTGCCTGAGCGCGTGTAGTCGTAGGCACCGAAGGTAGTGCCTGAAGGTTGCGCGAAGGTGGACGTCTGGTAGATTGGCATGGTGGCTGAGCCATGCGGGTCGTCCTTGCAGGCCTCGAAGCTCACAATGCGCGTGCTGATGTTAAACTCCTCGTCGTCTCCCTCTTCCAACGTGTTGCGATTCACGTCCTCGATCTCCAGCGCCTCGTTGCCGTCCAGATTGGCACGTGCGCGCTTCGGAGTCGTCTCCAGTTCGTGGCGAGGCACAAAGATCTTCTCCGGTTCTGCCTGACCTGTGCCAGACACCAGCTGCGTCACGTAGCTGCGCTCTAGCATAAACTCGAGGCGCGAGGCTAGTGAGGGAGCGGTGGCGTCTTCTGACGGCGTCGCGTCCTGCTGGTTGGCGGCAGGTGCAGGTGACGCGGCCCTGGGAGAACCCGTGGCCTCGGCCTGTTCGCGCTCAGAGCGCAGCGTGCGCTCAGCCTCGAAGAACTGACGCGTACGCAGATAGTCGCAGACGAGATCAAAGACTTCTGACTCGCCTAAACTCTGCTGCAACGCGGCGGAGGATGATGCCATGGTGATGATGTGTGATGATGTGTGGAGAACGCGAGGGAAGAGGGGACGGTTGCTTTGCGCTTGACACAGCAAAACCACGAATGGAAAGCGTTGTTCATGTTTCCCACACTCACTCAGGTGGTCCACCTTCACTGGTGTTCGACACACCGTTTTCATGTCACACAGAGCTGTAAATCGTGCGAACGGCACATGGAAAAGTGTATTTATCACCACAATACTCGTATTTTGCTCTGTATACCGCGTCCCTTTCAGGTTTGCCTGGGTGAAATATACTAAAAATATTATACAAAAAGTAGTTCTCTGGACGGAAGAAGCTGTCCCCCGCATTCCTCCTTATCTTGGATTGAGTATGCATGACAGGGGAAGAAGCTTCTCCTTGGTGAGCCAATTCCAGAATGGAAAGGAGACGTGGCCGGGCGGACCGAAGAAGAACCGGTATAAATTGGAGAGTGGGTGGACGGGGACGCATTGCTACGAATTTTACGGGGAATACATTGCAAAGCAGAATTTATATCGAGATAGTTGTGTGTGGTGGACATGAATTTGATTATACAGGTAATTTGATACCGGTTCTCAGCACATCATTAGGGCTGGCGCAAAAGCTGGCTGAAATGCAAGGCAGGGGCGTTGTGTGCGTAAGTGTTTCGCAAACGTTGGGCCCGGACTGAGTCAGTCACCGACCGGCGTCGGCAAGGTGCCCCACTACCTGGCAGTGATTCTCTTAGCGCGAGCAAGATACTACATACAAACGATGAAACCGCTTCGCCGTTTTGTTTAGTTGTGTCAAATTGCTCAAATTGCCAATGGCAATATGCCATCGCCAAGAGATTTTCCAACCGGAAAAAAAAGACTCCGTACCTTACCGACTGTCAGCAGTATCAGTACCGGTAAATTAATGTTCGGAACACTAAAATAGGAATTGTGAAGTTTGTGTAGCAATCCAATTATTTTTATTGTGGAGTTCTGCACCGACTTCACCACAAATGGCAGCCATGTTGTCTCGGATCGTGGCGTCGAGTTCGTGACGTGTCACCGTTCCAGTGGTGCCGCCGTAGCCGTGCAATTGCAGTTGAAACCTTCTGCTCGACGTGCGGTGCCGCCTGATGGCCATCAGTGGCGTTGTCTTGTTTTGCAAGAGGGCAGGACATGTTCTTGCTGCGACGAAATGTTGCTTCGACGAGTAGCGCTACTTGCCATCTGAGCCAGGAAGTCGGCTCACAATCGTTTCTCTTGGCTCGACTACAGCAACGAGGGACGGCGTCTCGACTCGTTCGCCGCTGTCCAACACAGCATCCACGTCAACTCGATGGTGGAGCCATGATGTTCACGGGGTAGTGCCCACTGCATGCAAATTCAATAGGATTCACTGCAAGTGGTCAGAAAGTTGGCTGGGCTGGATCGGACATGGCGCCGATGACTTGGCGCTCCATCATTCGATGGATACCCGCTGATGAAACCTAGCAACTTTGGTGAACTCCGGCATTCCCCCAGGCACCCTCAAAGCAAAATGGTCTGAGCTTCGTGCAGTCCTAGATCGACAAGGCGACGCTGTTGCAGCGAGATTGCGACCGGCATTTTTTGTAGCAATCATGCGCGCCGAGTGATTTGCAGGGGGCAAGCAAAAATGAGCGTATCCGAACGAGGTTGAATCTTGGCGTAACGCCATGCCGCAGCGCGCCATGCTGGACTGGTCGCCGCAGGAGCGATCGTATTACACTCGTCGCCGGTGCATTCGATTACCACAAGCACGCGGAACGACTGGTGTCCAGCGGTTATTAGTATTGCTGCAGGAAATGGTGCTCCATGTTCTGGACGCGCTGGGCCAACTTGTCTTTGATGCCCTTGCTGGTTCCATAGCATCTGGTTATGCCTTGAAATAGGGCGTGGGACACGGGCAGCTGATGAAGGTCTGGTGGTAAGCGCGCGCAGAACGAAGGGGGTAAGATACTTTTGCCTTTTGATCTGCACCGCCAACACTACAACCTCCAACGCCAACACCATCCGAACGCAAACCACTTCATAGCGCCCCGTACCATAGCACCGTAATAGACGGTGTCCCCTTCCAGCGTGGTTTTTGGTGATGACATCCAAGTCGCGAGCTGTTTCGCCCACCCATCCTGCTGTTGTACAGTCGTGATTGACTGGCGCCCAGTATGCAATAGTGAAAGACTGACGTGCCCCTTTGGATCAATTTCTAACCGCCCGTTTCTACTACCGGCTACGTAGCCTGCCGCACTCCGGCAGTTCCTGACCACTTCCGAATTTGGCGTCGAGCGGGGACAAGCAGCACCGAAAAAGCTTTTAGACGTCCCAAATATGTGCAAAGTGGAGAAGAGCAACCTGCCGCCCATGGCCCCCGTGGAGCCGCAGGCCATGAAGCCCAAGTTCGTCAAGGCGCACGAGCCTCAGAGCGATTTCCACTGGACCCCGACCGATGAGCCGCACGCCACTCGTCGTAAGCTCATCATGGCCAAGTATCCGGAAGTCAAGAAGCTGTTTGGCCACTGCTGGAAGACCAAATACATCATCGCGGCCACTGTGGCGTTGCAGACGTATCTGGCACTCAATGCGCAGTACTGGTCGTGGCCCGCCTACCTCCTCATCATGTATTGCATCGGAGGCACGGCCAACCACGCCATGATGATGGGAATGCACGAGGTCTCGCACAATTTGGGCTTCAAGAAGCCTCTGCACAACAAACTGCTGGGCATCTTCGCGAATCTGCCCATCGGCGTTCCGTCCTCCATCTCCTTCAAGCGCTACCACCTCGAACACCACCGTTACCAGGGAGAGGACGGTGTGGACGTGGATCTCCCCACTGAATTTGAAGCCAAGATCTTCACCAACAAATTCACCAAACTCTTCTTCGTTTTCTTCCAGCTCTTCTTCTACGGTGGCCGTCCGCTCCTCGTGAACCCCAAGACGCCTGGCGTGTGGGAGTTCGCCAACGCTGTCGCGTGTCTGAGCTACAACTACGCTATCTACGTGTACGGAGGCCTCTCTGGCTTGCTCTACCTGCTCATTGGCACGTTGTTGGGTTGCGGTGTGCACCCAGTTGCGGGCCACTTCATCGGGGAGCACTACGAGTTCATCCTGGGCTATGAGACGTACTCGTACTACGGCATCCTCAACCGCGTCACGTTCAACGTAGGTCTGCACAACGAGCACCACGACTTCCCGTTCGTCCCTGGCTCGCGTCTGCACCAGGTGCGTGCGCTCGCTCCAGAGTTCTACGAGAACTTGCCGAGTCACAAGTCGTGGGTGAAGGTGCTGGTGGATTACGTCATGGACGACAACATCAATGCCTACTCTCGTGTCAAGCGCCACAACCTCAGTGATGACGTCAAGGAGAAGATGAAGAGCGACTAAAAAGAGACACAAAAAAGTCTCGTGCGACTCTAATTGCCGCATTTTGTATCAAACCCTGTCGCTAGGATTTTTTTGTTAACAAACATCAATAACAACGGCAAATTTGTATGAAGAGCGATGACGTGTTGCATGCTTTGAAATGAAGCCACAAATGCCTGCACCACCAAACAACAGATGCAAAAAAGGAGTGATGGTCTTTGTGGCAATTGCATGTCTTGTTCTTCAGCAACATCCTACAACCTCTGAAAATGCATCTTGTTCACTTGTCCGCTAACTTAAGCTACGCGAGGCTTGGGGGCGTTCGGGTTGCCCAGTGTGAACAAGCGAGGCGCGATAGACATGGCCATGAGTTCCTGGAAGAGCAACTTGCACGAGTAGGGAATGTGGACCTGGGAGATCTGCGTCTTGTTGCGGCATGTGCGGCACTCGAACGTCATTTTGCGCAGGTTGGCAATAGCGATGATACCGCAGATATCGCACACGTGCACACGATACGCGTCCGAGTTGGCAAATAGTCGATCCATGAGGAAGTTGGCCGAGCCGTGGGAGATCAGACAATCGCGCTCCATTTCTCCCATTCGCAGACCACCTTCACGAGCACGACCTTCCATGGGCTGACGCGTCAACATCGTCACAGGACCACGAGAACGCGAGTGGATCTTATCGTCGACCATATGCTTCAGACGCTGGTAGAACGTGGGTCCAATGAAGATCTGCGCTGTCAGACGACGACCAGTGTGGCCGCTGTACATGACTTCATTGCCGTGTTTCTGGTAGCCCAAGTTGTGCAGTGTATCAGCGATAGCCTGCACTGTAACATCCGTGAACGGCGTGGCGTCACCTTCGTCACCAGTTTGGGACGACACTTTACCCAGCAGACACTCGACCAAATGCCCCACTGTCATACGCGACGGAATAGCGTGAGGGTTCACAATGATATCGGGGGTAATGCCTTCCACCGTGAACGGCATGTCTTCTTGACGGTACGTCATACCTATCGTACCCTTCTGTCCGTGACGTGACGCAAACTTGTCACCAATCTGGGGAATACGAATGTTACGGAAGCGCACCTTGGTGAACTTAAAGCCGTCAGCGTTCGTCGTCAGCATGACACTGTCGATAATACCGTTCTCGTGCGAGCGCAGAGCTGTACTCGCGTCACGTTTCTGGTGACGCTGTTCGAGCGACGAGTCTTCAGACTGAGGCAGTGGCGACGTCTTACCGATGATAATATCGTTACCACTGACACGCGTGCCTGGAGCCACCAAACCATCGTTATCCAGCTTGTGGTAGCTGCCGTGACGCAGGCCCAGACAGTTCTCACGCGAGGGTTTCTCGAATTCCTCGCAGTTGGCGCCTCCAGCACCTCCTCCAGGGCCTCCATGTGGACTCTTGTTGCGTTCTTGGTCAATGTAGCAGCGGTAGAATGTAGAACGGAAAAAACCGCGGTCGATCGCGCTTTGGTTCATAATCAGAGAGTCTTCCTGGTTGTAGCCCGTGTACGACGCAATACCCACGATAGCATTGATACCGGACGGCAGCTCACGGAAGTGCAAATACTCCATAGCACGCGTAGTAACTAGAGGTTTCTGAGGGTAGTTGAGCACGTTGGCCATAGTGTCCATCCGTGCGCGGAAGTTGGAGCAGTAGATACCCATGGCCTGCTTACCCATAGCAGACTGGTACGTGTTACGCGGCGACTGGTTGTGATCGGGGAACGGGATGATACTGGCACAAATACCGAGGATCATGGACGGGTGAATCTCGCAGTGAGTGTGGATCTGCGAGCCTGTGCCGACATCCTTTGGCTCCATAGCAATCATACACACTTCCTCTTCTTCCGTGTCGATCAGCTCCACGACTCCATCCGTCAACAAGTTGTGCCAACAGTAGTTTGTGATCTTGTGGTTCTGTAGCTTGACCACCTGCTCCTTCTGTAGCAAAAGTTGGTTGTCCTCTACGATAAACAACGGACGACACACTCGACCAGCGTCCGTGTAAATGCGCAGCTCCTTGTTCATCAGGTCGCGAATCACCGACACCTCAGCGTCGATATCCACGCAACGACGTAGAGATCGCAGTGTGCGGATCAACTCGTTCGGCTCACGATGCACACCCACCCAGTTGCCGTTCACGAAGATCTTGGTCGAGTGTGGGATGATCTGAGGCTTGATCTCCTCCAAGTTTTCAGTCGCCCACTCTTCCAGGAACTCCAGAATCGGAGCTTGCGGAGAACCCACCGAGATATACGCCATCAGAGCCAGATTCTTCACTAGACCGACAGCTTGGCCCTCAGGCGTCTCGGCCGGACAGATCATACCCCAATGCGTGTTGTGCAGCTGACGAGGCTGAGCCTGTTTACCTTCACGACCCAGAGGAGTGTTCAATCGACGCAAGTGAGAGAGTGACGAAGCGTACGTCAGTCGGTTCAGCACCTGGGAGACACCAGCCTTCGACGCGCTCTTCTGCATGCCCCAGTTACCGGTAGCTAGCGAGTACCGCAGTCCGTTCGTGATCGTACGTGAGCGAATAGCAAGCGTCAAGTTGAAATCCTTGCCGTTGTCCACACATTTCTGCAGGAACGACTTGACATCCTTCGTGAGTTTCTTGAACAAGATACGGAACAGCCCTCCAAGCAGCGGACCAGCCAGATCCAGACGCTTGTTACCGTAGTGATCACGGTCATCCTCTCCGATACGACCCAGTGAGCACATGAGCAGCTTGTGGACCACATAGCCGAGGAAATAGGCCTTCTTGGTCTCGTTATGGTCCTCCACACCCACGTGAGGCAGCATTTCCTTCTGTAAAATGTCCTGGGCGTAGCGGATACGGTCCGCTTTGCTCACATTGATGGCGCTACCACGTCGACCGATGAAATCCAGCGCCACTTCCTGTTCCTGGATGACAAAAGCCTCTTCTAGGGACGATTTGAAGCGCTCCATGAGCTCTGCGTCCGAGAAATCGTAGCAAATGTGTTCCAAAATCTCTCGATCGGCCACAAAGCCCAGAGCTCGGAAGATGATGACCACGGGGATATCTTGACGAATGTATGGGATAACAGCTCGGATCTGGTTGCCTGTGATGGCGCTCTTGCCGCCGCTCTTCTGGTACATCTGCACGTACATGGTACTGGTGGGCCGCACGCCGTGTTCGACGTGGGAGCGGGTCTCACAGACCCAACTGTACTTGGACGCAGCGTTCTTCCTAAAGCAGTAGACGTGGTTGTTGCTCATACGCTCCTGGGCGATCAGAACCTTCTCACTACCGTTGATTATGAAATAGCCACCTTGATCATAGACACATTCATTGAGTTCTGTCAACTCCTTGTCGGTTTTGTGGGTCAATACACAGTATTGAGACCGTAGCATGATGGGAACCATGCCGATGAACTCCTTGGGAGTCTCCACCTGATCGTACGGCTCCATATCTTCGAGATTAGCGGGGCCAGAAGCGGGCGCTTGGTACTTTTGACACACCACGTCGACGTACAGCGGCGCTGAGTACGTGAGATTACGTAGACGCGCCTCGTGCGGGAACATGACGCTCGTGGAGCCGTCAGCCTCGGTCATTGTGGGCTTGGACAGGTAGATCTGGCCGAAAGAGATGTTGTAGATGGTGTCTGTGTTGGTTTTGGCCTGGCCAGGCGCATACTGCGCCTCCGGGTTAATGCGGATGGAGCGCGAGTCGTCCACGAGCTCCTGCATCGTGTTCTGGATGAACTCATCGAAAGAGTCCAGCTGTTGACGCACGAGACCTTTCTCCTCAAAGTAGCTGGAGATCACGGCCCACGCGTCCTCCTGAGACACGGCGGAGCCCGCCGACAGGCCCATATCGCCGGCGTCGTCGCGCTCTGTGTCGCTGTCGATCGGGTTCTCCCAGCTCATAATAGCAGCGAAGGAGACTTGGCTGTGATCAATACAATCGCCAAATGACTCGAGGGGGGGCGCGGGCAGTTTAGTGGCGGAAATAACAGGGTGGTGACGGTACTTCAGTTCGTACCGGTACATCAGGGTTGAGGTCTGATTGGTTGAAGATAAAGATCGGTTTTCTTGCCGTTAAGAACACCGGTAGCCTGGAAGGTATGCATTATCGTAAAGCAATCTACGATAATGCATATCTTTCGATAGCATGTCTGACAGCGTGGTCAGCAGCGACGGCATAGCTGGGCTGGCCGCCGCCTGTTCGAGCCGCACATGTTCTTGTGCTTGTGCGCTGAAAAAATGGCCGTCCACCCCGTATCGTACGGTTGCAGGGATAGAGAGCGTATCAAACGGTGTATACTTTTCCAGCACTTATCCGTCTCACGAACTCCAAAACAGAAATTATCTTGTATACGCTCGTATATTCCGACCAAAACGCCAAAACGGTATAGAATATCCGTACCTTATCCGTAACCAACTCTGTCGTGGAAAGAACACAGGGATTACACAAACGTACACGAAAAACCAGACTGCCTGCGTGGCCGAAAGCACAGTGCAGAATCGAGTGCACACTACAGAGACCTCACGTCAGAGTACCGACAGGGATGGCGTCGCTGGCGTGTATCCAATGGATCCGTGACGAGCTGGAGGCTCACGGTGACCTCAAGGACCTCAACCCTCCGCTCGTGGAGACCAAGTCGTTGTGCGAGTTTGTGACGGACGGCCGTGCGCTGTGTCTGCTAACGAACGCCGTGCTGGAGGGAGAGGAGAACGAGCTGCCCAAGAAGCTGCAACGTTCGCTCCGTCAATTGAGCAAGTTCCACGCACTGGAGCGTGTACAGTTCTTCATCAAATGGTGCCGTACGCGCGCCATGCTCGAGGAGCACCAGGTGTTCACGACTGTGCAGCTAATAGACGAAGTGAATGAGACCGCTGTGTCGGAGACGATCGTGGCGCTGCGCAACAAGACGCGACCTGGCCTTAAGGCTGCCAACGCGCTGTCTCAGTACTATTTCGACGGAGATAACAACCGCGTGTCCAGTACCAGTAGCACGACCAGTACCGGCAGCTCCAGTGCCGCCAACAACGCCAGTCGCCTCAGCTCGTTCCTCAACAAGTTCCCGTCCGCTCCGGTGGTGGCCACGAAGACCTCGTCACAGTCCAAGCCGCCGCTTAGCAACCGTGTGTCCCTCACTTCCAGTGTGGCCAGTAGCAACCCATCGCCACGGGAGCTCGAGGAGCCAGTGCCTGCAGACGAAGACAACAACAACAAGTCGCGTCTGCGCATCCCCTCGATCTTCAAGAGCAACAGCAACAACAACAACAATGCGTCCGCTACGCCACGCAGCAGCGTCATCAGCAACGCGTCGTCCACGGCTTCCACCAGTAAGGACGAGGGTCAGTCTCGCTCCTGGTCCAGCAAACTCTCGGCCTTCTCTCGCAGTGTATCGTCGTCCTCCAATGTGTCGGCTCCACAGTCCACACCCACAGCAGCTGAGCTGGACAACAGCAACACGCCGCCCTCATCGCCTCCGGCGTCGCCCCACAACAGAGTGAGTATCCCCTCTGCGTTCTCAGCCCCGGCCCCAGCTGCTCCCAAGTCGATGTCCAAGTTGTCGGCCTTCCTCAGTAGTGTGGAGACGACACCGGTGGCTCCTGCTTCGAGCGCTCCTTCACGAGATACTAAGACTCCAGAGGTAGAGGTGGAGGCCACACCAGAAGAGGAAGAGCACGTGGAGATTGAAGACAATCAGGCGGAAGAGGAAGAGGAGCGGACGTCGATCAAGGAAAAAATCGCTGCTGAGAGCGAGAATCAGGACGAGCAGAAGTCGCTGAAGAAGCCTCCGTCGAGTGCGAAGTTGCTTGCATTCCTGCAGAAGGTGGAGCCTGCCAGTGTAGCACCACCTAAGGTCTCGGCGTCTGAAGAGGAGGACGACTTTGTGGCTGTGGAGGCTGAAGACGTTTCTACTGAAGAAGAAGCTGCCGTCGAGGAGACGCCAGTGGAGCACAAGGAGGCCGCTGTTGAGACTGACAGCGAGGATGAGGCCGAGGAGTCTGTGGAAGTGCAGGAGAACGAGGACAAGCCAGCTGAGGAGATCGAAGAAGCCCCTGAAGTGGTGGAGGAACAGGTGGAAGCGTCGAAGGAAGAGACTTCCGAAGAGGAGAATGAGACAGAGGCCCCCGAGGACGAAACCCCGGAGGAATTAAAGGTGGAGACTGCTGCTCCCGTTGCGGAAACAGTCGCCGTGTCTCCAGAGCTTTTGCAGGAGAACGAGCGTCTTGCAGCGGAGAATGAAACACTCACGCAACAGCTGCAGACGGCTGAGGCTACGGTCGCAACAAAAGACACAGAGTTGGAGGCGCTGAAGCAGACACTTGAGCTGCTGAAGACGCAACTCGCAGAGGAACAGGCTAAGGCACAGGATCAGCTTCTAACAGCTGAGAAGAAGCAGGAAGAGCTTGCTGCTGAAGCTGCTGCCGCTCGCGCTGAACTGGCCAAGTCCCAGGAGGCAACGACCGACGCATCTGCAGCGTCGAAGGAGGTGAAGGAGGCCAAGATCCAGATCAAGGAGCTCAATGCACAGAACGAAAATCTCAAGGCCGATCTGACGAGCTTGCGTGAAGAAGTGCAGACGCTGGAGCAGTCGGTGCAACTAGCCCGTGACAGCGAGGAGGCAGCAAGATACGCGGCCCAGGTGGCATTCGCGGCTCGTGACTCTGCGGATGAGGTGAACCAGCAATTGAAGGACCAACTCGCACAGCTCGAGAAGTAGAACGCAGAAGATGTAGGCCACTACCGTTGTACGCGAGGATCTAAGGCCAAGAGGAGTGATTAATTTTGAATTGTTCTACTGGTATCCCGGTAGTGTTAGATGGAATCGGTCTGGTATCCTGCGAGGCTTCGTCGTAGTACTAGCGCACTACCAAATCCTACGACCATAAAGAGGCAAACTACTACGGCGAAGAGTCCGAGGAGATGAAGTGTACTTCGAAGATAAGCTTGGACGTCGGAGGCTGACCATTCTGGACATTTACCGCACTGAGCAATCTACAACATAAGCGTTAAGTTGCATGACACAGTTAAGTAGACGGTTAAAAAAAAGGATAAAATACAGGATACGTACATCGTTCTGTTCGTAGCCCTGGTCAGCTTTGGTATTGAGTACCGTCATTCCTTCGATACAGTCGCTGCCCGAGCTCATACTCCCATCGTTGAATGAAGTGGAATTGCATGGAACCCAGAAGCCATCGGATGTCTTTAGGACACCATTGCACGGGATTATTTCTGTAGCCATGTCAGTGCAGTTGGTACAACCTGAAAGATTGATATCGCAAGCTAGAGTTGAGCTCGTGTGCGCGTTGTACGTGGATGCCAGATGATCCGAGAAGGAGAAGGCGCTCACAGAGCACACCAGAAGCGCAATGAGACAGCTACCGAGGCCGATAATGTACTATTCAAGGCGAACAACACTGTTAGAGCACAGTTAACCTTTATATGAAGCCAGCTACGTACTATAAGAAGCAGCGATCGGCTCTTGGACTTCGATCCGATGAAACCTAGCACCGAGAGCGCGACCATCAGAGTGCCGACAACAATGAAGATAATGGCTGCATTACTCAGAACATGTTAGAATCTGCATCTCTAGGACGCAGCAATGCCTCGCATCGTACCTATCCACCTCTGGCCAGACGTCATCTCATCGTGTACTTTGACTGACAGTCCGAAGATGAAGAGCCCGGTGCCCAGCAGAGTGAATATGGCATTCATAACCGACAGCATACTGCGCATGATAATGGGTACAGTGACGATCCGTACAACGCAGTACATGGAAGCAATGACCAGTAGCATACAAGCCACGCCAATGGCTCCAATGGCCACCACTCGGTACTCCAGATAATCCACCGCCTCGCTGTACGTTGCACAGCACGAGGAATCTCGCAGCGCCGCCAGCACATTTGCCGTCCAGTGGTGCTTAACCCAAGACTCGAGTGCGTCCTGGAAGAAGAATGCTGTGTAGCAGGCTACAAAGAGCCCAGTGACTAGCAGGAAGTTGACGAAGAAGAAGATCAACAGTAAGCGGCTCTTGTCCCTTCCGGCGCCTATGAAGCCCAACAACGAGAGCAACACGACGCCCATGCCTAGAGCTGATAGGGCCGCAGCACTGGCACCAAAGTCTGTGGTCATTACCACGTGCAGCGCGAAGCCGAGCAGCGCCACGCCGCAACAGAAGCTCAGCAGAGTCAGCAGACGCAGGAATTTGCGGGACGGCCGCATGATTGGCAAATGTGAAGATGGCTGCTTTTTTTTTCATTGTGGATATTTTCGGAATCAAAATTTCCTCTTGAATTTTGTAAGCAGCTCGATGATATATTGCATTGTGGAGGGTTAGTCGAATGATGCGATTGTAGAGGGATTGAGAAGATGGCTACATTCCACTTCAACTTGGCTATTTTGCTGGTTATGCTGCTATTGTGGGGCGAGGTGAGTTATGACGTGGGCTGCGATGCTGCGAATATCTCCGTCCAACGCGAGTCTATTGCTAGGCTTTAGGCCACGTCTCGACTCCCGTCGAGCTTTATATTCACTCGTGATTGAGTCACGTCACAAACATCAGTTGGATTGCTGAGCAAACATGCCAGACACGGTGGGATGATACGTAGACGAATGTGAGCCGATCCACACGCATTCAGTTGTCGAACAGCAAGATGTGAATGGAACCTGGTTCTGGTTCGAGGTACACCACGGCTCACGCAGTAGGATGGAGGAGGTAGATCAATGTCATGGCCTGAATGCGCTCTCTCCTGCCTCACTACAAAATATTCCGTCGAGCACACTTGACTTCATTTTTCCGCGCTGATGAAGTTTCGCCGTGTAATTCCGTTCATCGTAGTGGTTACTGCACATGTGTCGGCTTCGTCGAGTTCGTCCGGCTCGTCGTCAAGTATTGGACTGAATGGCTGGTATCCATGTTCAGAGTCGACCTTTTCAGACGAAGGAGGATCTGCCAACCAGGATGCTGAGTGTGCCGTGTACACCGCACCGCTGTGTTATCCCGGTATCTGCGAGAATCCGGCGTTTGTCACTACTACGACCGTGGACATCTTCGTGAAGAGGATCGCTGCTTTAAACGACTCAAAAACTGCGACGAATGTGTGGATCATGCAAGGCGGTCCGGGTGCTTCCTCTACTGCCAGTACGTACTACCGTTACGAATTCATGACGCTTTAGACTGCGTTCTAATCTGTTTTTGCTTGCTTATTTGCGTTTGTGCAGTGGAATCGACGATGGTGGAGCTACACACCCGACTGGATGGAACTGTGAACGTTTACACCATGGACCACCGCGGTACTGGTCGAAGTACGTTGTTGGACTGCGTTGCAGCACAATCAACTACAACCGGGTCTCCATGGGGAAGTGGAATTGACACAGCGGAGGTCCCAGCATGTGCTCAGGCGCTTGAAAAGAAGTACGGGAATCTGTCGTCATTCTCCATGACAAGTGCAGCTACCGATATGGCCACATTCATTTCCGACTACACGAATGGTGCAGATACTATCGTGTACGCAGTGAGTTACGGTACTGCGTTGGTAGAGCGCTTGATTCATCTGGACCCTCCTGAAGTGACTGGGTATGTTCTGGATGGTGTGGCCACGAGTTCGGGATCGCCAAAAGAATTTGAGTATTTTTCAACTTGGGACGCTGATTTCGGCGACGTAGGTGACTCATTCATGGCACTTTGTGCCTCACAAAGCGAGTGTAGTGACAAATTCATATCAACGGATTTGTCTACTACGCTTACGAACTTGATCACGGATTTCGACAATAATCCACACTCAGCGTGTGCAGCTCTGTTAAAGGACGAGAGTAGTGATCCTGCATCGTATATAGTTCGGGAAGCACTGGGGTCATTGTTACAGAGTGTGAATATGCGAACGCTCATCCCGCCAATTGTGTACCGGTTGAACCGCTGCTCATCTGAAGATACCGACGTGTTGACGCATTTCTTCAAAGCTTTGAACACGTACCAAAATTCTCCAGATGAGGAAAACGCGTTTGAGTCGTCGTTACTTTATTATCTGATAGTCTTCTCCGAGATGTGGGAGAAGCCACAAGTCTCCTCTTCAGAAATGCTCGAGCGATTTGTCAACTCGAAAATCTCAAATGGAGGAACGTACTTGGAGATCCCGCAGTACTGTGCCTTTTCGAAAGAGAACTCGACGGTTTGCAATGAATTGGATGTCGGTTCCTATGGTGCCAATGGGATAATCTACGAACGTGACCACTACTGGAACAAGAGCGCCTCAATTCCTACACACGCGAGTGTATTACTGTTGAGCAGCAAACTGGACCCACAGACTCCGCATAAATACGCCGAGTATTTGCTGGAGGCATTGGACGGTAGTAACAAGGAGTTGATCACGTTCGACTACGCTACACATGGGACACTGTGGACAACGCCTCTGACTGACGACGACGAGAGTGAGACGTGCGGTATGAAGCTGCTGTTGTCGTATGTGAGCAACAATGGCGACCTAGGTGGCCTCGACAAGGTTTGTGTTGATGAGATGCCAGCGTTCAACTTGACAGTACCGCTTGTATATTCACACTATTTCTTGAGCACGGACAATGCCTACGATGGTGTCTATGATGCAAGCTTGAGTGCGAGTGGATCAACCGGTGGCGGGTCGGCCTCCAAAAGCAGCTCCAAGTACAAAACTGTCTTTATTGTTTTCCTTGTATTTTTCGTGGTGGCGCTTGGAATTGCTGGTTTCTTCTGGTACCGTTGGTATAAAATCAAGCTCCAGAAGACAGACACGACTGACGACAAGTTCGTCGAGATATCAACACCAATTGAACAGGATCAGTCGATAAGCTCCGTCACAGCTCAACGAGTGTAGTAACACAACCTAATGGTACGAGCAAGTCTTACCTGCCGAAAAAAAATAATGCCACTGACTGAGTACTTCTTTAAAAAAAAAAACCAGTCTGGTTTAACAAGCAAAAAAAAAAGTTCGCAAAAATGGTTCGCATGGACGCGAACCTTTATATGCCACAGGTGTGTTGGTTACTCAGGCTTCAGGCACTGGCTACCATTGTCTTGTAGAATTCTTCATAGTTGGTAAACTGGCCGCGATTCTTGGTCAGCCCCCGTAGCTTGACCTTTTCTGGAGAGTTGTTCTTACCCATAAAAATCTTCAAAAACACAATGTCCTCCACGCTTTTCAGGTTACCGGGAGCCTGTTGAGGGTTTGTCTTCATCCTCTTCGAAGCGGTGTTGAACATTTGGCTCTGGGTCTGGGTCTTCATTTTCGCTGCAGCAACAGTGAGTTTCTTCTGTATTTCGTCCCGCAATTTCAGCTCCTTCGCCACGCCTTTCAACCCCGAAAACTGCGCTTGCTCTTCGTCAATAGCGAGAAGAGAATTGCCTTCCTCGTGGTTGGTTCGAAGCAACTGGTTGGGGGATACCTGGGTTGGCACGAAGTCTGGGGCTGTCTTCGCTACGAGACCGACCTGGGTGGACTCTCCAGTCGCGGTGACTCCACTGGGCGATGCAGGGCACACGCACCACACAGGAGACTATTGGCTGAAGGCATCATGATCTTTCATGGGGCGCTGTGATTCGCGGCATGCAGCATACCCAAGACGGCTATACGGCTTTATCCCCTTGCTATAGGCTAGATTTAGATCGACTCAAACTAGGACCAAAGTAGCTAACACATGATCAATCTCACTCTTCAAATTTCCAACTACCCATCACCTTTGCCCAGAATCAATATCATCGGGTTGTTTTAAAAGGTGTTATTCATGACCTACACGGTATTAATACGTAGTAGCAGACGTCGGGAAATTCGCTTGTTCGATTGAATTTGCTGCAGTTATTTTGTGGCAATAAGAATACCAACATGGCATCGTTCATCATTCCTATTTTAGGATTGTCTATGTTAAAGGGTTCTACAAGAAATAATTCTCAACTCCGCTTATAATACAAATAACTAAGCCGAAAAATAAATGACGTCATTTTTCTAAATATTATGTAGAACTGGCTTTCTTTTCTGCTTGACAACGTCGTATTCATGTATTTGCAGCTTTCTTACTTCAATTAGGCAAATTCTTGTCACTCGATGTGGCCGTGACAGTAACGGTCAACTGCTTTCTCAGTCTTCTTACCATATTGTCGACATCAGCGACCAATTCTTCTGTAGGTGCGCCATGGTTAGTCATTGTACTACGTACGACTACATGTATAACGTAGTAAACGTGTACTTCACGAAGTAAACACGTGTATGTATTAGTAAGGTATTAACACAGCCTTTCTAGTTATCTCTCCTTCCAAATGCGATCGACCCTACCACAAGCTAGCGATCGGGTCCAGTACTGAAAAACTCTAGGATGGGATCAATGCAGAAGGTGTCGCTCACTGTCAGTTCATTTTTTACCGCAGAGAACACAAGACACTTCCAACTTCCCCAGCTTGCGTACTCTTGCCAATGATGAACAGCTTCTTCTATGCGGTTGTCACGCTTGCTGTTATTGTAAGCGGCCTCTTTCACGTAGTAATCAAGCAGACTACATGTTGACGTGCCTCTAAACAAAAGGCCAGGGCGGCAAACAAAATTGGTTTGTCTCTACAGTAGAAAGATAGGAGGAAACTTCATGTAGAATAGCCTTACTTCTGAACTTGAGCATAAAACGTCCAACTGCCTTCTATTGAATGGGGAAATAGGGGTTGCACCCCAAAAGAAAAGAGTGTACTGGGCAGTGTATCATACACTTGTAAGCTCGCGCTGGGCCCGCCTACAGTACTGAGTGGCCCTGCTTCTAAGGCATCCCGCTCGAATTTGGTATTTCATTCTTATCGATTCAATCCCCTCTGCTCACTTGTAAGAAATTATAGTTTGCATTTGGCGTTTAGGGATTTATCTAAAAAAAAATTGCGTTGCATTAACATGCAAGTCTATAGTCTACAGACATTTAGTATTGCGCCTTTCAGTTATTCTGCCGCGATTGTTCTAGCTTAATTAAATTCCCTTCTTAGCCTTAATTATGCCCTACAGTCAGCTAATTCCATGTTAATTATGGGTTGTCTCATATCCGCGGGTCTTAGGGCGGCCTGGATGGTGAGCCTGCTTTAAGACGGAATAAGCTAATCAAACCCGATTAAGAGTGAGATGATGGCGTTTGGCGATTTGCTGGCCACCATCCCGGCTGTAACCTGGCGTATCGCCGCCGATTGGATCTAACACGCTGGTCTGCGGTGTAGAGAAGAGTTCGCAATCTTAGCATTAAATGTAGCCATTTTATGGATCTAATTCCGCCCGAATTAACACTCTACCCGCCAAAACAATTGAAAGACATAATAAATCAAAGTCACTAAACTAGGTGCATCAATTCAGTTCTTTTGCCTTTATTATCCTTACAATAGAGCTTGCTGGGTGCAAAGCGACGCAGCCCACTCACATTTTGCATGTGCTGCTATCGCAAAGTTGAGCTAAAAGAATTCAATACAGACCTACTTCGAGTGAAATTTTCACTCGGGATGGATAGGGAATCCTAAACAGTTATTATAGTGAAATTTTGGATATTTCGAAATGGTTTTACCATAGTATAGATATTCTTTTGTACACCTTTTAACTTCAAAATGGCAAATTGCTAGCTCAATATTTTAAAAAGTACGCTCAAAATGTCACTCTACCAACTAGGGCTGAGGCGGAGGCTGGGATAGCTTTGAGTCGCGGAAGCGTTATTGACAAGAACCTTGAAAGCTCTCCTCAAACCGCCTTGGGGCTTGGGTTAAATCACGAAAAGGATAAGCAGATTTCGGAATATCAAGGTCTAAAGTAAAAAATATTAAATATTTGTTGCTTAGCTCCTTTCCACTGTTTTACTAAAGGAGCCACGCGGATGGAAAAGTTTCTAGGACGCTTCCAACTGCGTGTTATTTTCTGGATAAGCAGCAGAATAAGCTCCAGCGAGATGATGATGTCTGTAACGAGCGCCGGGTACAGCCAGCGTTTGCCAAGCCGCCCGAGGTTCAAGCGGCTCTAGCGCTGCCTAACGCGCCAGTTTTTCTATTGCAGCACGCCCACGCATGTTTTCAACTGAGCAATAGCGCGAGTCTTAGTCCTGTTACGCACTAAGAAGCTTTGAAATTTCGAGGGTGGCCTGTTAACCAAAACTTTAAAACTGCCAAAATATCGCAGGGAGTTGAGATCGATGGAAGAATGGTGGTGGTACAGCCCTGTTACAAAACTGAAGGGGTAGAATAGACGGGAAAGCGTGACGGACGTTTTTGAATACAAATTTCAAGACAAAAATCGAAGAATAACGAATTAATCGCCTTTGTACTGCTATCCCAGGATAATAACGATGGTAGCTTCGACGGTGGTAGACAATAGCGGAAGGCGAAAGAGGTTGCGATAATAGCTAGGATTGGGGGCTTAGATGCCAAAATACCCAACAGGAAATCCGCAGCCGTACACCATAAAATCACAGACCAAATGCTCGCTATTTAATAGTGCTGTAAGGTAGGCATATGAAGCTATACGTTAAGCTAGACAACATAGCCTATCTCATCGTGTAGCTTTTGTAAGTACGCGCGAACGGAGCGCCGTAGTCCGCTCTTTGTCGTTTGCTTCTGATGCAAGACTTCGACTGAAAGATACGTACTTTTACTACGTGAATTTAAACGCACATGCTTCTGCATCACAAGCGCTACGAAAAACCCGTATCAATTTTCTCGTATCTCCGCTACATATTTTTAAACTACGTGTATTTCACTCGACGGTCCTTCTGAAAGACTCTATTGAACCCATAATTTGCTATTTTGAAGTTGAAAACGTGTAGTATGTACAAACTACGGATAATTTCATGAGCTGCTGCTTACCTACCTGATAATTAGACCCCGTCGTCTACGAAACGCACGTTTTACCCAAGAGAAGATTTGGGAACAAAAATCTTGTTATAATTATAGGATGTTGTCTGAAGAAATGGCTTTGGCAAAGCAACCGGAAATACAGGCATAAAAAAAATCTGTAGTCTGCCGAAGCAACCTGTGTGCGCATAGATTTTGCGGAGCTGCTGTCAGCACTTGCGGAATAACTCTCTGCTTGAATAGCTACTATCAGCACTTACGGATTAACTCTTTGTTTGAATATGTTTTCTTTCGTTCCACGTGCAAGATTTTTTGTAAATGTTATCGTATGCCCACTGAACTGTACAATACGTTTTGGACAGTCTGGGCTAAACGAACTACCCAAACCTAAAGGGTGATATTTATTACCTGTTGTTCTAGCACTTTTTACCTGTTGGACGCTTCCAGCCACTACTAATCTGTTGTGAGCACTGATCGACCTGTTGTTTAGCAACAGATAATCAGGCATGGTTATCTGTTGCTCATCATTGCTACTTACCTGTTACCTGTGCTGATGATATGTTGTAAAACACAATCATGACAGCCAATAAGTAGTGGAATAAGAACACAGGAAAGGAAAGCCTTTCACCATTTGGCACACTCGCTACCGAAGCCACAGCTGCCACTACGAGCCACCTACAAACGGAATAAGCCCACGCGGAGATTCTTTGACAATTGGCAAACCGATGTTGCCCTTTCAAACGCACTTCTTCTTTTCTTTCCAACTAAGAAAATCAACTGTGCACCCCTTCTCTCAAGTACCATCATTTTATGTATTTGTAATGTGTAGTGCTGGTGATAAGTATTATAGGAAAATTATTCTTTTGAAAGAAATAACAGTGCTATCGAATAAACAATTTGTAAAGTAAGAGGCTCAACATGTAACACTGCAACGCGTTGAAGTTGTGTACAAAAAAAACAACATCACGAAGAGACAACCAAATGTTTACAAAAACATAAATATGCAATAAGTATACTGTAACAGATTTTCATATTGCGTATGAACGAGCAACAGTCCATCAGTGCCCAAAAACAGGTTAGTAGGGGCTGGAAGCGTGCAACAGGTAAAAAGTGCTAGAACAACAGGTATTAATTATTTTCCAAACCTAAATCACAAAGATAAAGTGCGTCTGTATTCTCAGCTTTAAGTCGTAGAGGGTCTACTGTAAACGTGGATGAAACGGCCTCGAACAAAACAGTACGAATCAAGCAAAGTACGTATCGGGATTTATCGAAAGGCAGGTGCCTTGTGCTTCTCTTGAGCACTTTTTCTTCGAGAAATCTAATAATAAAGAACGTAAGACCACCATAAAAATTCCGTTTTCAGACTCGAAATGACGGGAGATACTTTAAAGTCGATATTTTGGAATCACTCGGATTTGTAACTTAGACTGGTGTATCCCCACGTACACCAATCAGAGATTCTTGATCTTTCCCATGGTTATTCTTCAGCTAGACTGAAGCTAGCATCGTAGACACCGTCATATGCTTCGTTGGTACCAAAGTAGTCTTGCACATATTCAATGGGGACCGTAAGGTTAAACGCGGTCATTTCACTCATACACGAGCGGTCCAGATGTTGCAGATCCCCGTTATTGCTGACATACGAGGCCAGTAGGTCCATACCGCAGGACCGCGTGATTCCAGTGGCATCGTTGTAAAGGGTATTGGATGACACCGCGATGTGCGGAGCGTAGTCAAACGTGATAAGCTCCTTGTTTGAGCCATCAAGAGCATCCAACAGATACTCGGCATATTTGTGAGCCGTCTGTGGGTCCAGCTTGCCACTCATCAGCAGCACACTGGCCTGGGTGGGTATTTTAACACGCTTGCCCCAGTACTGGTCACGCTGGTAAATGATTCCTTCACCTTCGTAGTTGCCGAGCCTTAACTCATCGCACGTTGCAGACTTTTCTTTTGAGAAAGCACAATACAGCGGAAGCATCTCATAGATTCCATCCGCAATACTCGCATTGGTAAAGCGCGTTTCCATCTCATTGGTGGAAGGAGATGGCCTCTGCCACAACTCGGAGAAGATTATTAGTCTGAACAGCAATTCCGACCGGAAAGGCGTTTCTTCAGAGGACGGGGAAGAGTTCATTGTCGTGAAGAATTGGTTCAGGATTTCCACATCATTCGAGTCACAGCGATTCAATCGATACACAACTGGCGGAATGAGCGTTCGCGTTTTTGTGCTCTTCAAAATCTCACTGAGAGTCTTTCGTAGCACAGATGACGGCGAAGTGAAAGTCGAATCAGTCCAGTTGCTTAGTAGAGCAGCGCAAGTTGAGTTGGGGTCGTTGTCAATCCTCGTTATCAGATCTTGAAGCGTGACGGACAGATTTGCTGACTGGAAATGCGAGCCGCAGGTGCTATCTTGCTCACACAACTCCATGAAATGTTCGGCCACTTCTCCGACATCATCATCCCAGTTCGAGATGTATTTAGGCGACGCAGCTGAAGTGGTCACAACGCCGTCTAGAACGTATCCAGCAACAGTTGGCGTATTCAGGAGCATCAGACGTTCTACCACCACAGTCCCGTAGCTCTTTCCATAGACGATAGAGCTCGCACCATTCGAAAACTTGGAGATAAACGACGATATATCCATGGCAGCGCTTGTCGTGGAAAACGACGCGAGATCTCCATACTTCATCTGCAACTCCCTCGCACAAGACGGAACTTCGGACGGATGAATTTTAATGCCCAACGTAGAACCAGTCGTCGTGATTTGAGCAGCAACACATTCAAGCAGCGTGCTGCGTCCAGTGCCGCGGTGATCCATGGTATACACATTGACTGCTCCCTCAAGTAGAGTGTGGAGCTCTACCAGGCGTGTCTCCACTACAAGTGCATCAATGACATTGTTAAAAACGTAAGGTAGACTATGGATATCAACATTTTACTTACGCTTATTGGAGGCGTAGCCCGGACCACCTTCAAGAAGCCAAACATTGTGGGCCGTCTTGGCATCACCGACCGTGGCTGGAAGGCGCTTCACGAAAATGTCAACAGTAGGCTTCGCAAACTCGGATGGCTCACAGATGCCAGGGTAGCACAATGGAGCGGTATAAACTGCACACTCAGAAAATTCTTGGCCAGTAGAGCCCGCAGTGTCCGAGAACGTGAAATCATGGCAAGGGTACCATCCGTTGAGAGGGTGATTCGGCAAAGTTCCGTTCAACGCTGCTGAGGTATGTCCAAGGATGCCGACCGTGACCACCGCTAACAGGCAATGAAGCTGCATGATTGGGAAGCAGTCGCTTGGATGTTGTTGATAGCTGAGAAATTGAAAAATGAATTGAGTATGCTGAAGGCTAGCAGCCTCAACTCTCCAATGGAGTGATGGCTATTCTACCATCCAGCAAGATTCAAGGCATATCTACTTTCTACTTTGTAGAGGAAGTAATGGGATAGGAGTAATCTGTCTTGAGATACAGAGCCGTTCCTACGACAATTTGCAAACTTCAGATCTTGACAATTATCATAACTTATACTTCGAATATGTTAATTTGATGTGGCGAGTGCTCACATTTCTTTTCTATTTAGAGGAAAAGTAATCATCGTATGTTCGTACCAGAGATTACTCGACACTGTCACGTAATCTCTCCGAAAAAAAAATACACACCTATATATTCTATTGTAATTCAGTACAGTTTAAGGAACGTTGTAAGAAACTATGCCTATTTGTAGCCCCTGATTGGCTTGATGTCGGTGCATCCCTTACCAAAGAGCACCTCTTAGCTAAGGTTATTCGGTATTCTCTCGTTAACTACCTCTTCTTCAGCACGATTGCAAGCAACATTGTCGAGGATGATTGATTCTCGAACTCGAAGACAGTTCGAGCAGTCAATAATCTCTCCGTTCACTAGCTTATCCGCTTCCCACCGAGAGCGACGTGCTGATGTCATCCGGTCTCAATCTTAGCGTTGCGAAAGCAGTTTAATGCAAGATCACCGACCTCGGCGTGACCCATCTCGCACCAGCACGATTTTTCACCCACCCTTTGCTAAATACTGGTCTACGTCGTAGATGTCACGAGTTAGACCTTCTTCTTCTTTATCGAGCGCCTGTTGTACTTGTCTGTGTCGATACCGTCGCTTAAACAGTGGTGCCGGCATCAAGTGGCCCTGCTGCTTGGCTATGGTATTAGTACTCTACTTTCAAATTTGATTTACTGCTACACCTGATACGAGGTGCTGTCCACGGGTCCTATCAGGTATGCAATTTTTCCTGTAATGTACCCTAGATTTATACGTATTTTATTCCAAAAATGTAATAAAAGTCCAATTATTTCTGGCGCAAACATCATATTTACGGAGATCGGCGGATCCCAGTAACCCGTTATTCCGTCAAAACGCTTCTAGAATTATTGTATTATGTTTCTAAACAGGACTCGGAAAATAAACATAATACAAAATATGCAAAATTTGAATAGGTGTAAGAATAGCCCATTTTCGAGTGAAAGTGTATACAGCAGACGTTGCAAACGCAAAACTCCGATTAGCCGTACCTTGTACATGTAGCCAGGTTTCTGATGATCAACTATGTCTGACCCAAGCTCGCTGAGAAAACAACTTACATATTAAAGTCGTCTTGCAGTATCAAATCGCCTGCAATCGTTCAAACAATATACAATAATAGTAATTATTATTGCCTTCCCGATATACGGAATAACGGCTTGCTTTCCCGGTACAGTGTCTGAGCCCTGATTTCCCAGTACAGCATTGTATTTTATTGTCTGAGCCCTGAGGGAAGCTCTCGGTTTTTTTTTTTTTGGTCTGATGCTTGACTTGTAGTATTCTAGTTATCCATTTACCTGTAGATTCCATGGTCTGGCACGCATGCGAGCATCAAAAGATCTTATCACAATGGCGGATTTATCTCACTCTTAATCTTGGCGTGGTTCACTCGTGAGGGTTTGAGCAGGTACCAATGGGACGTTTCATTGACGAATCCGTAGAGGTCCATTGAGATATTGTAGAAAGAATTGTGCCTGTTTCATCTTAGTTAGTGCCGAATTTATATGATGACGGCAGGAAGTGTGCGCTATGATAGGAAATTACGCCTACAAAGGCGGAAGCCATACCGTATTGTGAGAAAAGCATAACGAATACGGTATCTAGATTCAATTTCTCTAAAAATCGGGTCAACGTTTGCAGCAGTGCAAATGGTGCAATATGTTGTCACACGTTATGAAAAAATAATATCGACTGGGCCGTAGATGCCACTAATAGCATTGCTGTTAGTACAAAGCAAACCAAAGCAATAGTTGGACGAGATTTTGGACTTTCAACAAGACGCGGTTAAAACAATAATCTTTCACTGAGATGCATATGGGGGGCGTGATTTACTCTTTGTGAAAGACTGCGGTTCTTTAGCAGTTTATACATGTGGCCCATGGTGCTTCACAAGCCGTCAAATTTTCGCCATTGAAAACCACAGCAAAGGGGGCGTCGCTACCTACCTAAACGTAGTATGCTAAGATTTCTTTTTTCAGATCAGAAACGATTTTGGTCACGCCCTTTGGTTAGGAGGACATTTGCACGTCCTTCGTGTATTACGAAGTTCATGCTCTTTCTAGGTTAGGAAAGTGCCAAAAATGCAGCTTTCCAAGCTGTCCCTTTCTACCACCGTCTAGGTCCTATGCATTTGCAATGAACCCGCTGCGCCCTGCACTTCGTGGGATGATTTAGTATTCTGTCAAATCTTGTTGACCACGAATAAGGGCTATCAGTAAGTCCCACCAATACTGTTAAAGACACACCCTGCACTCAATCATCTCAAATGCAGTCGAACAAGCAACATTCTGGTTTGGATGTGGCTCTAGAATCAGTCCGAGGGTGTGATGATATTAAACTCGGCTTCCACGAACCCCAAGCATGGATAAAATGTTGTCTCCATTGTCTTCGTCGGGATCTTCACCATTCTACAGGGGTTCACTGGTTTTTTTTGGTACTGTTAGTGGTAAACCCAACAAGCAAAAGTAGATAGCAACACGACTGATAGCAAAGAACATCGAGATTTCAACGCCAACGGCAGTGAGTCGAGTCCTCCGTTGCGAACTCGTCCAAGTGAACTTAGGTACAAACGCGATGGGTACGCAAGGGCTCGTTGGAATGTCGCGGTATTATTGGATCACTTTTCGACCCGACGGTTCATCTTTAAGACTCTAAGCACCGTAGTTACAGCTATTTGTGCAGCGAGGCACCGCACAACTGGACATGTACTTAAAATCTTCTATTTTTTCTTTCTGGGTACACCGAATTAGATTCTCCACAGCAGCATCGCGTATCAACCCAGCAAAACGGACTACCCTCGATATTCTGGTGAACAGAAAAGTTGTGGCCAGCCATTTTATTATTTGAAATGCAGCTTTACCACGCCATCTCACTAGCGACAGTGTTCGCCCAAGCCTCAGCTGCAACAAGTTCGGCCTCTCGTAGCGATCTCAACGGCTGGTATTCCTGTTCCGAATTCACCTTTGCCGATGGAGGAGGCTCTAGCAATCAAAACGCCGAGTGCGCTGTCTACACTGCACCATTGTGCTATCCTGATATTTGTGTGACTCTGAAGTCCATCGACGCTACTGTTGACGTGTTCGTGAAGAGAGTTGCTGCTGTAATCGACGCCGAAACAGCGACGAATGTGTGGATCATGCAAGGGGGTCCGGGTGCTTCCTCTACTGCCAGTACGTACTACCGTTACGAATTCATGACGCTTTAGACTGCGTTCTAAACTGTTTTTGCTTGCTTATTTGCGTTTGTGCAGTGGAATCGACGATGGTGGAGCTACACGCCCGACTGGATGGAACTGTGAACGTTTACACCATGGACCACCGCGGTACTGGTCGAAGTACGTTGTTGGACTGCGTTGCAGCACAATCAACTACAACCGGGTCTCCATGGGGAAGTGGAATTGACACAGCGGAGGTCCCAGCATGTGCTCAGGCGCTTGAAAAGAAGTACGGGAATCTGTCGTCATTCTCCATGACAAGTGCAGCTACCGATATGGCCACATTCATTTCCGACTACACGAATGGTGCAGATACTATCGTGTACGCAGTGAGTTACGGTACTGCGTTGGTAGAGCGCTTGATTCATCTGGACCCTCCTGAAGTGACTGGGTATGTTCTGGATGGTGTGGCCACGAGTTCGGGATCGCCAAAAGAATTTGAGTATTTTTCAACTTGGGACGCTGATTTCGGCGACGTAGGTGACTCATTCATGGCACTTTGTGCCTCACAAAGCGAGTGTAGCGAACGGTTTGTATCCAAGTCTCTGCCCGTGACGCTTCAGAATGTGATTACACTATTTGATAGCAACCCAGAGTCCGCGTGTGCTGCGCTTGTGAGTGACCTCTACGGTGATATGAGCGGCGAACCTGCGTCATATATGTTACGACGAGTATTGGGATCTCTGCTCCAGAGCTCGAGGCTGCGAACGCTACTTCCGCCTGTTGTGTACAGGCTGAACCGCTGTGCATTCAATGATGTTAAAATACTGACGCACTTCTTCACAAATTTGAACAATTATCTATCATGGTCAAGCGAAGACGACACGTTCGACTCGACTCTGCTCTACTATCTTATTGTCTTCTCAGAGATGTGGGAGAAACCCGAGCAGTCTATCGGCGAAATGATTTTGCGTTTTACAAATGCTCGCGTTTCAAATGGAGGAACTTATGCCGATATCCCACTGTATTGCGCGTTCTCCAAGGAAAGCTCACCAGTGTGTGATCAACTTGACGTCGGCACGTACGATGCCAACGGGATAATCTACAATCGTGACCAATACTGGAACAAAAGTGCCACAATTCCAAATCAAGCAAGTGTGTTGCTATTGAGCAGCAAGTTGGACCCACAAACACCTCATAAATACGCTAAGTACCTGCTGGAAGCCCTTGATGGCAGTAAGAAAGAGTTGATCACGTTTAATTGCGCTACCCATGGAACTCTGTGGACTACCTCAATGGAGGAAGACGAGGATGAGAGCGTGACGTGCGGGATGAGGCTACTGATGTCATACGTGAGCAATAACGGTGATTTAGACGGTTTGGACAAGTCTTGTGTGGATGAAATGCCTGCGTTCAATCTGACACCACCGCTTGACTATCAGTACTTCTTCTTGAGCACAGATGATGCTTACAATGGAGAATATGACGAACGCTTGGCTGAAATCGTAACCGGTTCCAGCTCGGGCTTTGCCCGGTCCGCCGCCACTACCACGAAGGAAAATACGACGTACAAAACTGCTTTCGTCGTGTTCCTTGTGCTCTTCGTGGTGACACTGATACTCGCTGTTTTCTTCGCATTTCGGTGGTTCAATCTCAAGAGCGAGAATGCAAGGAGGAGAGCGACCGATGATCTTCCAGAAGACATTGAGATTTCAACTTTACCGGAGAATCAAGCTGGCTCTCCTGAATTGACTACTGCTTACTCACAGAGACCCAAGTAGGCATAAATCACAAAATGTAGGGTAACGAGATCAACCTTGCCAAATTATGTGCTTTTTCGACGATCCATTCATACATGTAAACGCTGATCTTTTACACTTGTTCATTTTCTAACTCCCGTAACTTCACTATCAGCAGATATATGCCAGCGTAACCAGATTTAGTTATAATTTCACACAATTTGTTTTGGCAACCGCAATTAGTAAGACCATCTAACAGCAGTAAATGCCAACGCGTTATTTTTATTAACGGGTAACCTGAACTGGATACGGCTTGTTATTGGTTGAAAATTTGGGTATGCACGTTAATATATTCGACAGGATAACTACGCGCATTACATGTAGGCATTATGTGTAATTGTTAGCTTCTACTGCGGCAACATTTAGTTGACGTGTCTAGAAGAGCACTGAATAGGGCGGCTACTATTTAGACCCAATTCTAACATCTTTTGTTTAGGATGCTTAAGGGCGGATGGAGTGTGTTGGCCTGCATCGACAGCAACTGCTGCCATTCATCGGTACGTAAACGGCTGGCGACTCCGTCGTGAACCAAGTTAAGACGGAGTCGTCCACTATTGAAGTTATGGATACACGGGAAAGTCCAGCTTTCAACTTATGATAACCAGCCTACCACTGATGTCTCGATCCCCGGGGCTGGCCGCTGTTATGAATATTACATCAGCGTTGTACAGTTTGAAGTCGAGGTTATTCTATCGCTACTGTAGCTAATACGTGTGCCTAGTAGTTGAACTAGAAGATGCTGCATTGCCACGATCAGTTCGCAGCTTGTGATATCGCAGCATGATTTGGGTATATTCATTACATTCAGGTCACCAATACAAAACTCTCGGGGCGTCATAAGTTGAGAGCGGCTTCTATCTGCACGTAGAAGTGTAAACTTGTAACATCATTCCATCCGCACAAGCTGTAACCAAAGGGATGTTGCACCACAATTGCAAGATTAATCATGATGCTAGACTTATCACACAGGTGGACAGTATAACATCCTTTTGTTGCTCTTGACGATGGCAAGCTTGGCCCTGATGGTATACTCGCGTATGTACAAAGTTAAAATAGTCTTCATTTCTGTCTAATTACACGCCGTTACATCAGCGTTACCACTTCCGGTTACGGGATCTCGGCAAAGTATACAATGTACAATACTCGGATCGGGTATGTGGGAGCAGTGTAGTGCCTGTATTAGTGCTCAAGTCCATTATTATGCATACATTCATCATTTGTACCGTTCCGATCTTCACAGTATCCCCCCCCTCCCCCCCCCCACAATTTTTCGCTACGGAACACCAGCTCGGAATATGGATCTACGAGTTGCCTCATTTGTAGTAATCGATGTGAGAAAAGATTTACTAATATTCTATACGTGTGATTCTGGTATTAAAAGTGCTTAGATACGAAGGAAATGTACAGCCCAACTGGCATTAATTCATGCACGTGTGTTGTGTTTTTCCACCCACTTTCATGTGGAACATTTACAAGTGAATCCATTTATATTTTGTATTCTAACGAGATATCGAACTTTAAAGGGAAAGTGATACATAATTACATTGACTTAAAAATAATATAGATTTATGGGTTCTGTTTAGCTGATACGTTTGAATGCACCTGGGCCGCGTTGTTGTTGTTATGGCAGTTGTTGCTTTCGATACATCAACTAATTCGGTTTAAGTTCCGCTTTCATACTCGTAAACTACAGCACTATATTCGTTCACATACCAGGCAGTAAAACCACTATTATACTAAAGCTACACGAAACCAAATGCGTTAAGGACCGCGCATTTCCTAGGATATGCCATTTCACCTTACTTTCCTTCTCGACTGGTGCGTAGTATTGCAGGTGCATACCGCGCTCATTTGCATCGCTTGTCAACGCTCGATCCCGATATTGTAATTTTCCAAAACGAAAGGTATCACGACTTTAAATAATTCACAAAGCATGTGAACCACTGGTATGAGTTGTCTAATAAACAATTCCGGTATTTCAGCTCATCGGTTTAAATCTAAATTCGAGGGGTAGAGTATAAAAAATCAAGGAAACGAATGCACACTCATCGCATAATTAATCTTACCCCCCTCAACAACGAGAGTACCCTTGTGAATGTTGCCTGTGTTGATCAAGAGCAACATCGGTGCAACATTGGGATTAAAGTCATCTTCCAGTGTGAATATTAACGCTGCATATGATCACTTAGAAGAGCTAAGGGCGTCAAATCGCGATGGATAGTACTAGATTTTAAGCATCCATCCTCGTAAATCTAGATTGAAGTGTCGAAACTATGTGTAATTTGATACCTTCCTCACTCCATTTTTCTTCTCACATTCTACCCGACCGACGACTCCAACGACTAACTCAAAAAAAGCTAAACAGAATCCCGCGTGGGCCTGTGGTTTACCTGTCAAATGCCAAGGAGTTGACGAACTGAAATGGATTCCCCGTCTTATAAATTGACTCCTACATTAGCCACCAACACAAGCATGACAAATACCACTAATATTCGGGGCCACCTTTACGAATCCAGTATACAACAGCAGTCATGACTACAGTCAGGAAGGGTTGCGGCAGTGCCCTCTACATCATTTACTACCTTTCACACAGTGGTGATACACTATTATTTGCATTTTTACAACCTAGATGTTTCCTGATACCTATGAGCGTCCGACGCAACCACGACGTGCAAATTCGCCTTAACCACAATGCCATTCCGCAGACAGTATACGTCATGCCGGCGAAAAGACCTCAACGACCGCATTTCATGTGCATTGAAGTGGTATCGGATTTACTAAAAATGTTCTCAAGAATTTGTTTCCAGAGTACAAACAGAGGAGCGATTATGAAAAACATATATGCACTTCTTAATATAAAGAAAACAAGTCACACGCACAAAATGAACTGTATTGCATAATGTAACTATTGCATCAGATCAAATTCTGGATTGCTTAACCAAAAGTGGCGCTATTAACTTCCAAACAAGTGAGAGAGATTAGGAATGTAAATTGAGGATTCTTGGCAACATTGAAAATAGGTCGAACGAAACTGTTTCATTAGATAGCTGCTCCACAACGAACAACAGAACATGAACGTTGTTTGTGTTATCCAGGGGCAACATCAAGCCCAATTGCCCTGGGAATATTGCTGAAAGGGAGCGGGTAAACTAAACTGCTACAAATGACCCAGATATGATTGGGATAAGGGATAGCACCTGATAGACACAGAAGGTAGGTCAATTCTGTTGTTCCACCAAAAGGTATTTGCCAACGAGTGGTTGGCAGAATCCTGCTAAGCTATTTGGTTGAAAGAGATCGCCTTTCAACTAATAGGAAGTCTAAATGCACACAGACCAGTGGTCTGTCAAATGTAACCATTGGTGTATCTGACACCAATGTGAAACCCATTGTTGTCATCAAGTGGCTGCATGTAGCCACTTGCGTGTAACCCCGTTACAGCGGCTCTACACGCACAGGCGGATGTTGGCCAAATGCCATGCGGAATACATTATGATAGTCCTTCAGTAAAAGTTTCAGGCTACCTGCGCTTCGGTATTTCTCTTTGCAGTTCCCAAGTCTCAGCTCCGCACCATCAGGCTCGGTAGCTCTTGGGAGTGCTTGGTGGTGAAAAGGTTCACGAATGAGACGGATAGTCCCGCCGTCGCTTCCACTGAAATCATGCAAATCTCACTCGAGGCTGGTGTCACACGCTTGCGCCAATATAGCATCCACCGAATAACAAAGACGCTCCATCACGGGGCGTGACAGCACCAGCGTTTGCCTCTGCGCAGTACCAGCGGGCCCGCCGTCGTCAGCACCTGTATAGCGGTGAACCTAACGCGCTTTGCGGGTTCGAAAAAGTACCATTGAAGGTAGCCAGCATACACGGAGCGCAGGTCTCTTCTTGCACTTTGACTCCTCGCGCTTCCGGTTCCTTTACAAGCCCGCGGCTAGCCACGTTTACATCAGATCCTGAGTCCAGCAGCACGTTACCCAAGTCAAGGACATTCTCTAAGCGTGCCAGGCATCCACTTCCATGTGGGAGAGGGGCCTCGTTAAGTTGCAGAGCTTTGACGTGATGGACTGGTGTAGCAGGCGCCGCGGCTGTCGAAACCCGCTTTTCACGACACACTCGCAGGAGCTGC